TTTTCACTATGCTAGAGATTTCTTTTGACATGTAGAAACTTTTTAATAAGAAGTGGTCCCAGTTATTGATTCTGGGAAGTATTTCCCATGCAGTTTGAGTCCTGTTCATGAATTCTCTACCTACCCCTATGTCTTCAAGGTTTCTGCCCAATTTGTCTTCCAATAGATTTAATGTTTCTGTTTTAATATTCAGATCTTTGATCCATTTAGATTTTAATTTAGTACATGGTGATAGGCATAGGTCTAGTTTTAGTTTTCAGCATATGGAGAGCCAATTTTTCCAACACCATTTATTAAAGAGACTGTCATTCTTCCAGTGAACCTGTTTGCCTCCTTTATCAAAAATAAAGTGGTTGAGTGTGTTTGTAGTTGTGGTTGTATCTTCTAATCTATCCCATTGATCTTCAGCTCTGTTTTGATTCAAGTACCATGTTGATTTTACTACAGTTGCTTTGTAGTATAACTTCAAGTCAGGGATTGTGATGCCTCCTACCTTGCCTTTGTTGCTAAGAATTGTCTTTGCTATTCTAGGTCTCTTCTCACTCCAGATGAATTTTAGGAGTGATTTCTCTAGTTCTATGAGGTATGTTGATGGTATTTTTATTGGGATTGCATTGAATCTGTATAACAGTTTAGGGAGAATGGCCATTTTCACAATATTTATTCTTCCTATTCATGAGCAAGGGATGTCTTTCCATTTTCTGAAATCATCTTCAAATTCTTTTTTCAGTGTATTATAATTTTCCCTGTATAGGTCTTTCACTTTTTTCATAAGAGTAATTCCTAAATATTTCATTTTTTTGGTTGCTAGTGTGAAGGGTGTGGCTTCTCTTATTTCTCTCTCTGTGATTTTGTTGTTAGTGTATAGGAATGCTATTGATTTTGAGTACTGATTTTGTATCCAGCTACATTACTGAATTTATTTATTATATTTAAGAGTGTTTAAATGGAGTTTAGGGGGTCTTCTATGTAGAGTACCATGTCATCTGCAAACAATGATAATTTAACTTCTTTTCCTATCTTTACCCCTTTTATTTCTTTCTCTTGTATAATTGCTCTGGCTAGTATTTCCAGCACTATATTAAATAGGAGTGGTGATAAAGGACGTCCTTGTCTTGTGCCTGATTTTAAAGTAAAGGCCTTCAATTTTTGGCCATTTAGTATGATACTGGCTGTTGGTTTGTCATAGATGGCCTTTATTATATTGAGGGAAAGACCATCTATTCCAATTTTCTGTAAAGTTCTTATCATGAATGAATATTGGACCTTATCAAAAGCTTTTCCTGCATCTATACAAATGATAATGTGATTCTTACTTTTGGCTTTATTGATTTGGTGGATTACATTTATTGATTTATGTATGTTAAACCAGCCCTGCATGCTTGGGATGAATCCCACTTGGTCATGGTGTATAATCTTCTTGATGATTTGCTGCGTCCTATTTGCCAATATTTTGTTGAGGAGTTTTGCCTCTGTGTTCATTAGGGAGATTGGTCTATAGTTCTCTTTTTCAGTTGAGTCTTTCTCAGATTTTGGTACTAGAGTAATATTTGCTTCCAGGAATGACTTGGGAAGGATTGCTTCCCTTTCAATTTCACTGAAGAGTTTGAGGAGTGTCGGCATTAATTCTTCTTTGTATTTCTTGTAGAATTCTGCAGTGAATCCATCTGGGCCTGGGCTCTTCTTTGTAGGTAAGGACTTAATTACATTTTCAGTTTCATTAATAGAAACTGGGTTATTCAGCAGTTTTACATCCTCTTGACCTAGCTTTGGTACTTCATATGCTTCTAGGAATCTGTCTATTTCTTCCGTGTTATCAAACCTTTGAGAGTAGAAGTTTTTGAAATAGGTGTTGATGATCTTCTGTATTTCTGTAGAGTCTGTAGTGATTTCACCTTTTTCACTTCTTATTGCAGGAATTTGAATTTTTCTTCCCTTTTTAAAATAAGGTTGGCTAGGGGCTTATCAATTTCATTTATTCTTTCAAAGAACCAACTCTTTGATTCATTGATTCTTTGGATTGTTTTCTTAGTCTCTATTGCATTGCTTTCTGCTCTGATTTTTATAATTTCCCCTCTTCCTTTGGCTTTGGGCTTGACTTGCTCTTCTTTTTGTAGATGTTTGAGGTGTAACATCAGGTTATTTATTTGTATTTGTTCTGCTTTCCTGATGTGGGAACTCAGGGCAATAAATTTTCCTCTGATGACTGCTTTCATTGTATCCCACAGATTCCAGTAAGTTGTATTTGTATTTTCATTTTCTTGTAGGTATTGTTTAACTTCTTCTTTAATTTCCCCCTGTGACTCACTGATTACTCAAGAGTGTGTTATTCAGTTTCCATGTGTTTGTGGGATTTTTGCAGTATCTTTTATCATTAATTTCTAATTTCAAAGTGCTATGATTCGATAACATGCAAGGATAATTTCAACTCTTGCATTTATTTAAATATGTTCTGTGAGCTAATATATGGTCTGTTTTAGAGAATGACCCATGTACTGCTGAGAAGAATGTATATTCTGATGTTGTTGGATAGAACACTCTGTATATGTCTATCAAGTCCATTTGTTCACATGTGTGATTCATTTCTGTTATTTCTTTGCTGATTTTCTGTCTGGTTGATCTGTCCCCTGGTGTCAATGGTGTGTTAAGGTCTCCTGTTACAATTGTGTTACTGATAATTTGATTTTTCATTTCTGTTAATACTTGTTTTATATAACTCAGTGCTCTGGAATTTGGTGCAAATATATTTAAGACAGTTATCTCTTCCTCTTGAAGTTTTCCCCTAACAAGTATGTAGTGACCTTCTTTGTCTCTTCTGATCATTAATGGTTTAAAGTTCACATTGTCTGCAAACAGAATGGCTACTCCTGCTTTTTTGGGGGTTCCTGTTGCATGAAGTATTGTTTTCCATTCTTTGACTTTCAGTCTGTGAGTATCCTTCTGGTTTAGATGAGTTTCTTTTAGAAAGCATATGGTTGGATTTTGTTTCTCGATCCATTCTGCCAGTCTGTTTCTTTTAATTGGTGCATTGAGACCATTTACATTAATGGTTATAACTGTTATATGTTGGTTTGTTGTTGACATGTTATCTTTCTGCTGTGGCATCTTTATCTTTCTGTTCTGTTAAACTGTCTGCTTTGCTTAGTGGTTTCTTCCTAAGTGTATCTAAACTGTCTTTCAATATTTTTGCAGGGTTGGCTTGGTGATCATGAAGTTCTTCAGCTGTTCTTTGTCATGGAAGTATCTTATTTTACCATGGATTTTGAAGGACAGTTTTTCAGGGTACATCAGTCTAGGTTGGAAATCATTTTCCTTTAGGATCTGGAATACTTCACTCCATGCTCTTCTTGACTTTATTGTTTGTGCTGAGAAGTCTGCTATGATTCTGATAAGTTTTCCTTTATAAGTGATCTGTCTTTCTCTCTGACAGCTTTTAATATTCTGTTCTTATGTTGGATTTCTGGGATGGTGATTATTATATGTCTGGGTGTCGTTTTATCTTGGTTATGACTATTTGGAGTTCTATATGCTTCACTGATCCTGATGTCAGTTTCTGACCTCATGTTTGGGAAATTTTCAGCTATTACTTCTCTAAATATCCTCTTGACATCCTTTATGTTGTCCCCTTCTTTTTCATTAATCTGCATCAATCTTATGTTGGGGTTTTTTTTTTTTTTTGCATCATCTTGCAGTTGTTGAATTGCTATTTCCTGATTCCTTGTTTTTTTTTTTAAAAACTCTTTCCTTTGCTACAATCTTGTCTTGAAGGTCGGAAATTCTATCTTCACTCTCACTGAGGCAGTTTTTACAGCTTTCAGTGGAATTTTTGATTTCCTATATATCTCTGTGCATCTCCTTTATGTATTCTGTTTGTTTCTTATATTGCTCATCTAGGGATTCTATCTTTTTGTTTAGTTTCTCCAATTTTTTAACTGTGTCTTCATTAAATATATTCAGCATCTCTTTCATTTCTTTTATCATTTCTTCTTTTACCTGGTAGATTATTTCTAGTTTGAATTCCTTTAAAGCTTCCTGGAGTTGCTTGTTTATTTCAGTTGCTATTATGTCCAATATTTGAAGTGTATGGCATATATTTTCTTCTATATACATCACTCCTAAGGTTTCTTTGAATGGACTGGAGGTTTGAGATTGTAATTTGGTCTTTCGTTTTGTCATTTTCCTATATTTCTGTGTTTCAAGTGTTTCGAGTGTTATTCTAAGGCTTCCTCATGGTCTATTGGAAATCCCCTTCTATGCCCTCAGCTCCTGGGACTCTGGCACCCAGTTTCCTGGACTGATAGAGGGTCACTGGCTATAGAGCAGGCTGACTCACCCAGCCTCTGGAACCAATAGTGCCTACCTACGTGCTTAGCCCTCCACAGTCCGCCAAGCACAGCCAGGAGAATGGAGGCTGATGCTGGCTCCCAGGATCTGCTGCGCTGCTCCAGTGCACCCAGAAGGTGTGAGGTTCCCTGGCTGGGCCAGAGAGAGGGTCCCAAACTATCCGGACTCAGGGGAAAGTGCATGGGGCACTTACACCAGGCCGCTGGGCCTCTGGAACTGGTGGCCCCTGCCTGCTTGCTTAGAACTCCATAGTCCTCCAAGCACAGCCAGGAACGGGGAGTCATGCTGGCACCCTGGACCCACCTAGCTGCTCCAGTGCGCCCAGACATCATGAGGTTCCCAAACAAGCTGGACTCAGGGGAAAGTGAGTGGGGCACTTATGCCAGGCTGCCAGGCCTCTGGAACCGGTGGCACTTTGCCTGCTTGCTTAGAACTCCACAGTCCTCCAAACACAGCCAGGAATGGGGAGGCCAATGCAGGTGCCCAGACCTGCTGAGCTGTTCTAAAAATACTGTTTTAAAAAGTATTTTTTTTTGCATTAGAATAGTGGATACTGGAACTATAAATATCTAGATCATACTTCATTTTGCAACTAAACTGAACTTTTGATACTCTTCAGAATCTCAGAAGTAAGAATATTTTCTTTTTATCCCCAGAATTTCACACTGTCATCCCTCACCTCACACCCTTCCCTCTGTCTGCCTTTGCACTGGACCAATGGGATGGGACAGAGAATAAACCAGAGCACAAGATGAACCACCAGAAGGAGGTGTCAAGGATTCAGTCCTTGTTCAGTTCAGCTTCTACAAAGGTATAGTAGTTGAACAGCAGAGGACAAAAAGCAGGAAAAAATTTGAAAGATTATTATGATCTTTTCCTCTCCTGAGACCAAAAAGTAAAAATTTTATATGTTTATACATCCATCTGTTCATGAAATAAACTTAACTTTTTAATATAATCTTTGAGGATCTTGTAACTTAGCCAAATACCTCTAAGAGAACTGTGTTTTTGATGTTTTGTTTGTTTATTGTTTGCTTCAGACACACGTTTTATGCATTTCTCAGTACATCACAGACACGATGTCTGCCTGAGTCATGTGATCTTCTTGAGTACCTGCTAGACCCCACAGACTGGTTCCAATTCCACCACTCTCTTTTCCATGCAGGAAAATGTAGGAGACTACAACAGAGACAGAAAGGGAGAGAAAGCTATAACATAACTTTAAATCTCATCTAAATGTGCAGGTAAATCATTTATATACTTTCAAGGCTCATTAATTATTCATAACAGATTTCACAAAGAACTTTCAAATACTAGGTGATATCTCCACTGAAAACTGTAACCGAGGTGGCAAGAATGTATTGAATACTTTCTGGGACTGTAGGGTTCTTTCACTTTTTAGACTTCTTATTTTACTTTGGACTCCATGATTTTGTTTGTCTAACTAGCTCAGTGGTTTTCCTGCCATAGCACACTTTGGAATTATCTGGAGAGCCTGTTAAGCCTCTGACTGATGGGTTTTGTTCTGAGTTCTGACTCAGTGAGCCTCAGGCATCCTGAGAATCTAAATTTGCTACAAGTGCCAAGGTGCTAGTGCTGCTGCTGACCCACAAAACACAAGAATCATTGATGTGCTCATCCATTAATCCATTCAAAAACATTTATTAAAATAACAGCCAACCACGTTCTGGACACCAAAACACTGAACATTATTTTATAAGAGGTAATGTCTACTGAGTACCTTGGTAGCAGCTCTGTTATATGATTTTTCTTTCTTTCTTTCCTTCTTTTTAAATTTATTTTGGCAGTAATGAGGATTGAATCCATGGCCTTTGCTCTGAGCTGCAACCCTAGCTGTTGGTTCATTTGTTTGTTTATTTTGAGAAAAATTGTCACTGAAGAACCAGAGTGTAATAGGGGCAACTAGACCAGTGTTTATGGATAGGTTGGAAAGACAGGCTTTAATAGGTAAAGGAATACAATTAGAGATCAAGTCCAGAAGGGAGAAGGCTCAGAACCACTTAGGTAAAAAGCAGGTGCCCCCCCCCCCATTTTAAAACCAAGGGTCTTGGTGAGACACAAAACTGCACAGTGTACACCGGGGAAGTGGAAGGGGAGGGAGAATCTTAAAAAAGATGGCAGAAGATATTGTTAATAGTGTATCAGGATTTAAAACCCACATTACTTGCACTAATCTGCTTAGGTAGATTTTATTCTGTCCCAGTTTGTCTACTTGCATTAGATTTGAGGGCACAGACAGCTATCCCAAAAACATCAGGATATAGCACAGTAATCATCTTTAATTTCCTATTAACTTAATCAGGAGCCCTGTATGACTTATACTGTTTTATCATGACTGATCTTAGTTAAATCTGGTTTGTTTGATATCGACAGATTTTATTCAAAACTGATATATTGATAGTATCAAGTCTGAGAGTATAGGCAACTACACTGAAGAGGACAAGACTCCACAATACACATTCTAGTTTGATTACTGCCTGTTTTGGAAGTTTTATATTATGTACAAAGTTGTGTTTTTATTACTACTGCTATGTGCTGGTATATTCAATTATACTATGTCTGATGATATAGCCAATTATATTGAAGATAACAAGAGACAACACAGGAACTATGGTAGAACTCCTTGTACAACAGTCTTATATGTCTTTTTCATTTCATGTGTTTATAGGAATATGTTTTGTTTTGTCTTGCTTTGTTTTGTTTCTCCCTCTATTATAAAAGGATAGAAATACATGTTAAGACTCATGCATTTGTAGAATCTATAAACAGTTTATGAGAACTGATCTTATGACACATGATGAAATGAACAAATACTTTAAAGAAAAATAGACACTAAAATACCCAGTGCTGATCCTGGAGTGTCATAATGTAAAACCCAGCAATAGTATTATTCTTTGTTCACAGTGATATTAGCCTGCTTGGATTTATTCAATCTCACCATGATTGAAGATATGGATAACTGCATGTATATTTAAGTGTATAGGATTGATAAGCATATTTCTAAGTTTTCGTTGGATAGTTGAACAGAACTGGTTGCAGCCTCACTGAATCCCCACTTTATATGCTCCACTTTAGTATCTTGAACAACTATTTGTAAGAGGACAATCTGTAATCATCAACTAGTGATTTCTTACTGTTTATTTTTTTCTTTGAAAGTATGTATTATTTCTACCTGTTTTCTGTTTTGTTTAGTCTTTTTTTAAATAAATTTTTTTTTAAAAAGGCAATATAATACTCAGTGCTGATCCCGGAGTGTCATGATATGAAATCCAGCAATACTATTATTCTTTGTTCAGAATGACTTTAGCCTGCTTTAGTTTGTTTAATCTCAACATAAATGAAGATATGGATAACTGCATGTATGTTTAAGTGCATAGGATTGACAATCATGTTACTAAGTTTTTGTTGCATAGTTGAACAGAACTATTTGCATTCTCACTGTTTGAATTCGCACTTTGCATGTTCTACTTTGTATCTTGAATAACTATTTGTTAAAGGACAGTATGTAAATATCAACTAGTGATGTCTTACTTTTATTTTTTCTCTGAACGTACGTATTATTTCTATCCATTTTCTGTTTTGTTTAGTCTTTCTTTAAATGCAATTTAAAAAAAAAAAAGAAAAATTGTCACTGATTTGCTAAATTGCCCATGCTGCGCTCTAACTTATTCTCCTGTCTCAGCCTCTCAAAGACTAGAATTTTAAAGATGAAAGTAACACAGCTTAAAGAGTATAATCAACCTGTTCACAGTCATACACAGTTGTCATAGTTAAGATTTGAACTGTCAAAGCCAAATTGAAATACCAGAGGAAAAATATCCCCAAGTATAAAGAATGTACTTGGGAATGAGCAAAGAATTATAATCCAACAGGGAACAAGCCACAGTGCACCATGTGTCCAAAGAGGATAAGGAAAGCTTTTATCAGCAAAAGGGAGAAATTCGTATAAGTTGCTTGGTTTCAATGTCCACTGGTCTTGTTGACCAGAGATAGGAACTGGCATCAGATCATCAGTGGAAGTTCTCCACTGATCTTATCTGAACTATTGTAATATTAAATTATTTAACATAAAGAAAATAAAGAAATCTGTGCATCTGTCAAAAGTGTACAAGGCATAAATAGTATGAAGGACTTTCAGGTGGGATTTTAAAAAAAAATTCCTAAGACAATTCTTGCACTTACACAGGCAAAACCTGAGTTCTCATTCTTCATGCTTTTCTAGTTCTGAATTTGTCTAGATCACACAAAAGTGCCTTCACTTTGGTATCAGCAAGTTTTGCAGAACCCAAGAATAATGGATGCAAGTGGTCCTAACAGACACCGTGCCACGTGCTATGCTACCCCATCAAGTTGAGATGATTACACAGAGCACATGCAGATCTAAAGAAAAAAAAAACTGATCCTCACAGAGATTAAATAATTTTACCAAAGTCTAGGAAATATTTTAAAATTTAATCTCTGTTTTCCTAACTCCAAAGAGCTTTTCCCATGATGCAACAGGATTTCTCCATGCTGTAATCGTTACAAAAATTTCAATGTGAATTATTTGTATTACCCTTATTTATCTTATTTTTATTTTTCCATTAACCAAGTGCACAAAGAATGGGGAGTTCTGTTTAATGTAACTAAAATGTAACTTGTTTTAACTCATTCAAAAGCTTTCTAACAATTACCAGTTCACTTTCTACCCTATGTCAGCACTGTATAGCATAATGGTAGCTTGATGATTCAGAATCTGGTGTCTGACAGCCGTCATTATCAACAGCATTTACTCCTGAGAAATGTCAAAGTGGATACAGAAGACAAGTGATTGGGCTGAATGTGGGGAACCACTGGATTACAGTACTCAATTATATTTGTATTCAATTGTACGCTAATCGTTTACCTTTTCTGTAATCAGAATGGAAAAAGGCCCCCCAATTGAGGCTAATCAAAGGTTTTGGTTGAGTTGGGTTCAAATCAATCAAGTTCCCCCCAATTTGTGTAAGTAGCTAACAAAGTTCATAAAAACAACTGCTTCTCCTCTTTTATGACTTGGTAAATCGCAAAGAAAGAAGCTTGCCCTGATTCCTGTGTACGGTCATGTTACCCCATCATCAGGGAGAGAAACGAGCTGTGTAATTACCATTTGAGACATGACTCATCCTCGCTTGGAGGACCCAGACCTGTCTGACTCTATAAAAGGAGCTCAGGGCCGGAGTGCAAATGTGCACCGTCTGCCATCCCCCGGCTGTTATAATTACCCAGCTACCACGAGGAGATGAAGGTGCTCCCGGCGTCTGGCCTTGCTGTCCTCCTTCTCACAGCTTTGAAGTTTTCCTCTGCAGCCCCCACCCTCTTTGCAGCCACCCCCAGGACCTGGAGGAACAACTTCCACCTCGCACAGGTTTGTGAATCTTTGCCCAGTTCCCTCTTTCTCCTCCTGACATGGAAAACCTAAAAGGGCATAATAAGAAAATAAACAAAAATCTGCGATTATTTTTAAATCATGTTTATAAGTTCCCTGAAGTCTGGTTGATGGTACCACATAAGACTGGTGTCTGGTACATATTAGGTGCATGTATTGCATGACGAATAAATAAGGATAATACAAATAATTCCTATTGGAATTTTTATAAAGATTACAAGACTTGAAGTAATTCCCAATGGTTTTTTGATCCTTCGGTTATAAAAATGGATTTCTAGTGAAAGAATTCCCAACATTCGTGAAAGGTGTGTGGAGATGCTTTTTATGGGGCTCTCAGGAGTATGTCAAAACCACAGCACATGTACGATTACAACTCTGCTTCAGGGTTCCATTCGTGCCTGTGCCTTTTGACAGCTTGAACCACTGGTGCATTGTGGAGTTGGCTTGCACTTGTGCACACTGACCTGTGCCCACCACCTGTCTCACTTATTCATCCTAATTGGTCTCTCACAACACCTGTGGTTAAGCATTTTCAGCATCAACCTAATTATAAACAAGGAAGATCCGTGCAACAGTAGATGCCCAGTACAGGCCTGTTGAATTGAACTTTCTGAGTGGAACCCCAAATGCAGATGAACTAAATTCAAAGTAACTCAGAATACTGAGATCTATTGGAAACTGCATTTTATTGATACCACCTAGCTTTGACTCCTTTCCCTCCAGATGTAAAACCTGTTCCCCCATCCAGATCAATGCCACTCCAATACAGAAGCTACAGAGGTCTGCAACCTCCAGAAGCAAGACTGTGCTGTGAGACCTAAAGAGATCGGAGGTGGGAGCCCTTGATTCTAGTCCAGTGTTCCAGGCAGACAAAAGGCAATGTATAAACTAACAGCACAGCTTTATGAAATCACAAATGAAACAGGCAGTTTACGCTCATTTATTGAAGGTCCTCTGTGTGGCATGTGGTGGACACAAATGCACAAACACATCCCTGCTTTCTTGGAACGCACATGGAGATAGCTGAGTAGATGGGAAGGAGATGAGTAGGTGATTGATAAGTACATGAAATAATTTCAGAAAGTGACAAATGATACTGTAAGACAGTAACTGTGACTGGGATGGAGTGGGGGAGAAGTCCAGAAAAGCCTCTAGGAAAAAGCAGTGTCTGTGATGAACCTAAACTGAATCAAAGAGCTGTCAGGTGAAGACCGGGAGACAGCAATGGCGCGGAAGAAGCAGCAAACGCATCAGCCCTGGCTTGGAGGAGACCAGAGTACCGTCCACCCACAGGCCCGGGGACAGCACCTGAGAAACCTTGGGAAGAGGGCACCGTAGGAGCCCAGGGACAAGCAGGCCAGTGGATATTCTGGGGACTGGTTACCTGGGTTGGGTTAAGCCTTCCACACTGCTCTCTTCTCTCTAGGTCACTGGGTGAGAGAGCAAACAGCCGCTTGTGCCTGGATACACCAGACACCTCCCCCCTCCAAATCTCATGGACATAAACATCTACCCTTAGAAATACAAACAGATTCTTGGTTGATTTACTTAATGTTCACTTGCATCCTTTAAATTGATTTGCTAATTTGCACAAGGATTTTGAAAATGATGGAGTGACAAAATGCTTTCATTCTCATAACCCAGGGTTTATTCCACAACAAATTAATCCAGATGCTCCTTGATTTATGAAGGAGTTATGTCCTGCCAATTTCGTGGTAGTTCAAAAAGTTGTAAGTTTAAAATGAATTCATACACATAACCTAGCAAATGTCATTGCTCAGCAGTGCAGCACCCAGTAGCTCTCAGCCTCCCTTGTGGCAGCCAGGCTGCCTGGGAGAGGCGGCTCGCTGCTGCCACCCAGCGGCAAAACCTTATAGCACCACTGCAGCTGACAAGAGATCAAAATTCAAAGTGTGTTTCCACTGAACAGGAATCATTTGCATACCTTCATAAAATAAAAAGAAGCACGTAAGGTGAACCATCATAAACCAGGGACTATCTGATTGTATCAATATAACATTTAAAGCAAGGTTTGTAGTTTCTAAAAATAATGAATCTTCATTTACCACATTATTATAAATTCATAAATAAAAAATAAAACTTTCCAAATGCAAGCTGTTAAGTTACTACCATTATAGTTTCTGTGACAAACATTCCTTACTGTTATTGTCTTTAAAAATTGATTTGTACTTTTCTTCTGATTATTTTCATCAGAAATTTTTGATATTTTATACTATTTTCATAAACATCTTTTTAGAGTCAAAGGTATTCCAGAATACAGATGAGTTATAATTTATCCACTTTTTCATGGAAAATAGATTATTTGCATTTGAATAATATTCCTATAAGCATCTTTGTACATCAATTTACTGTAAAGTATTTTTTTAAGATAAGTTTCCAGAAGTGGCGTTAATAAATAAAAGAGAACTTGAAGCCTTTTGATACATTTAAAAGCATTTTCACACTGAGGAACCTCACTGGGTCCTCACTCTGGTGTTACCAATTGAGCAAGAGCCATCCGATTTATAGATGAGAAAGTTAAAAACAAAAGAAACAAAGAATTGCCAAGCTTAGTGATTCAGCCTGACTAGAACCCGTGAGTTTTCAGAGAGCATCACAAGTTTTCACAAATCCATTTCAGTGATTTAGACAGAAAGAAAATGAAATGTTTAATAAACATATCTTGAACTTCACCGTGTCTTAAAACACATATAAATCTGAGTTTGGAATTCCTGATTCTCAGGAGGGATGTTAGTAAAGTGCACTAAAGTACATAAGCAAGGAGCTGGAAGAGGGAGCTTGGCTAACGACCTGCAAAGACAAACCTCTCTGGGTCCGTTACTTGTCAAACATTGAAAAAGAAGTGGAAAGAAGAATCACTTTATAATCAACCCTAAAATTCTGTGACTTAACCAACAAGTGAATGGAGAAGGGGGCCACCAGGGATAAGGTGGTGAGTCCTGGAATCCTGGACCAGTGTCAACTTTAATTCAGAAGCCACAGCACACAAGTGCTGAGATGTAAAACATGGACTCAATTCTGGATGCACATCCGAGTGTCCCCTGGACTTGCCCACAGTCTGACCATGGAAAGTATGCTGAAACCTGCCAATAACTTTAGCAAGAAATTTCCTAGGATTTTGGGCTCTCAGGACCATGGAATATCTGTCGATTCTTCCAGGAAGGATATTTTCACACTTTGCCTAAAGAAAAGAAGTTCAAACACCAACTGGGCATACACTCTGAGCCCCGAACTGTGGCAGGCACAGGGTTTGGGTCTGTTACGTGGTCGTGGTCCCCAGGAGGAAGAAGTATGCAACTGAGCGTGTGATAGTAACGAGAAACCAGCAGAGACTGGGGGTGCACAGTGCAATGTGGCAGATGCTTCACTAGCGTGAGAACCACACCCTGTGAGAGTAACAGGCAGAACAACTCGTTCGTATTCTTTTTAAGTAGGAATGTTTCTAATTTTATTCTTACTTCATTAAAAGTTTCTGTTTTAATCACATCCACTATGACCAGCCTTCAATATTTTGAGCTTTAATAAGCCTAACATCATGTGCATATTTTAAAGAAAAAAATATTAGAAATTTTCACAGCAGAAAAATTATGAAAACTGTAAAATCTTTTAAACTTCTCTTGTTCCATCATCAAGAGCTAACTGCTCAGGGGTGTGGCACACACTGCTGGCATGTGCAAGGACTCAGGTTCTATTTCCAGCCCTACAAACAAAATAACAACAAACTGCAGGCCTTGAAACATCAAGGAAAAAAATTAAAGGTTTAACCAGCCTGGTCCCTCGGGCTATGCCTTCCAAAACACTTTCCTATTCAGGCCAGGATTGGGCTAAGGCGGGGTTGGGTCCTGCTTTCATTTAAAATTTTAAGATTTTTGTTTGAAATTTAAAATCTTTGTTTGAAAAAAATAATTGTTTTTTTCATTGATTTGTAACATTTTGCACTAATACATTATTTATTTTGATTAATGAGTTCATAGTAACATCCCCATTTACTCTCCTCAAATTTCAGTTTTTGACTTTGAATACCAGTTTTTGATTCTGTAATAATAGTGGCAAAAAAAAAAGCGCAGGGTTTTGCTGCATTTATCATGAGCATCTTCCCTTATATGATCATATTTTATGATAAAATAATTAGCATATAGAACATAACACATAATCTAACACGAGAACAAAATATTGTATAAATATAGAACTTCTTACCTGATATACAGAGCTCAGACTCTGAGGGGCACAATTTGAACACCACTATAAGCATTGCAGTAACACAGCGTCAACTTGCACAGACAGGAATGACTCCTCCAATCCACTTCTGCTTGCCAAAAAGACACGAAGTGATTGCTTACTGACGACTGAAGCTACCTCAGAAATGTTTCAGAGCTACATCTAGGTGTCAGGGCCCCAGCGCTCCATGCAGCCTCTCCCTCTCCTCCTCTTGGGGCTCATCTCGCCGAGGGTTTTTAAAGGACAGCCACCAAGAAAGCGAGTGCCTCTCACACCCAGGCAGCTACTGAGAGCATAGGGCGCCCTCTCCACACAATCGAAACCTATTCCTTTCCTTAGCAGTCACGGTCCACGGCCGCTGTTGAAAACTTTGAGTAATAGGAAAAGATAGACAATTAATAGTTACCTATAATTGCACCACCCAGAGATAACCAATATTAATATTTATATACCTTTTGTTTCATTATTTCTTGCAGAGAGTATCTGGTTTGCCTATGAAATTATGATTATAATTGTTATAAAAATTTCTCATTTTCTGAGTATATTACAATTATATTGAGAACATTTTCCATGCCATTAAATATTTACTTTTCAAACATAACAAAAATATGATCTTAGGAGAATCCTAGTTTTATAACACACAAATACATTAAAATGTACCTAACAAATATTCTGTTGTAAGATACTAAAATCTCTTCCAATTTTTACTTTTTATGTTTATGTAGTATTCAACTAAGTAATACAAATAATTTATATTTAGTATATAAGTATATATATCACTTCTAATAACTAAACAGTTCTTGACTATGTAAATTTAAAATTATACATGTTAAAATATATATAACTCTTTAGCTGCTCCTGGGCTGTTTTTCTGAAATAAGTCAGTTAGGTCAACTTCCTGGGCCACAGGCAGGCCTCAATCCTGCCTCTGCACAGCCTTACCTCAGCTACTTTTCCCTAACTACAGCCCAAGTCATAAAAATGTGTTTCTGAACACCCTATAAAGGGGTTTCCAGTCTGCATGTCCCAATTATATCTTATAGTTTATGAGTGAGTTTGTTTGCTGTGGGGCTGACGAACCTCCTATTGGAAACTTGTCCCGTGAAAAAACTCACCCCACAATGCACCTGATGAAAAGCCTCAGCTGAATGAAAGGTTGACACCCAACACTTCAGAGTTAAAAACACACTGATTTTACGTTAAACATAATGAAAACAGTAAAATACTGCCCTGATTTTGAAAATGAGGTAAAGATCTTCAATGATAAATATTCAGTCCATGGGAAAAATGTTCACATCATTGTACTTCTGTTATTTTTAATTATTTTGAAGAGGAAGCAGTAACATATATTTGTTAGATTTACTATAGAAAAAACTATAGAATGCAAATGGACAAAAGAAAAATAGCCTAAGAGCCCCACTACTCAAAGATAATTATGAGTAACTTAAGATATGTGTAAGCTGTATTTATGCAAAATGTCTAATTTTTTCCAAAAGTAAGAATATACTCTACACACTATTTTGCAACAAGAAAATCATCCCCCATCTTACTTGAGTGAGAATCTATGCCACAGACCTGTCCGCCTGCCTCTCCATTTCAGGCATATCTTGACAAGTATTACACAAAGAAAGGAGGGCACCAGGTTGGCGAAATGGTTTCAAGAGGAGGCAATTCCATGGTAAAGAAGATTAAGGAGCTGCAAACATTCTTCGGCCTCCCGCTCACTGGGAAGCTGGACCAAAGCACGATGGACGTGATCAAGAAGCCTCGCTGTGGAGTTCCCGATGTGGCAAATTATCGTCTCTTCCCAGGTGAACCTAAGTGGGAAAAAAATACTCTAACATACAGGTAAGGAGCTATAGTTTTCCACACTCAGAGATCTCAGTCTCTCTGTCTCTCTGTCTCTCCTTCTCTCTCTCTCTCAACTTAAAAGTATCCTCTGATCTCTATAAAACTCATGACTCTCCAAAACCATAAGAAAGAATAAGAACTTTGTAAGTCTGTTAGATAATGACAATGAATAATTCACTTGAAAATAAAAATTTTGGGATTATCTCAGAGACAAGCCATTTTAAGCATTACATTTTTTTCAGTTGGAAACGTCATATTAATATCCAAAGAAAAATAATATAATGTCAGATTAGTAACAGTACCAAGCATTTGTCTTAAAATAATCTGCTCGGTAAAAAATAAAACTGATTCATTTATAAATTATTTTTTCATTGATTCCAAAAAGCATTTACTGATGATTTGTTATCTACCATAGGCATTCAATTTTGGGGCTATAAAGGTGAACAGATCATTTTTCCAGATCTTAAGGTATTCATAGTCCTTTAGGGAAAACAACCTGCAAAGAGACGTGGCCACTCTGGATGGAAAGAGGAAATACAGGTCTAAGCAGAGAACTAAGATAGCACACCGGGGATGGCGCGGGCACCAAGTTATCAGGGAGTGGGTGGTGACATGAGGAGCCAATCTGAAGGCAAAGTAGCAGTTCCTGCCCTCTGCTTCCTTCCTGGGCACTCCCCTCTGTCCATCCTCTGTGCCTTCCTATTTAGAACAATGGCTGGCCGTACCCAACAGGAGCCTTCACCCTACCTCCTTGTGCTCTGGGTACTGAGGCCATAATTACCAGCTCCAGCAGCCTGGACCCATTTCTGGGGCCAGAAAAGACTGATTCATATGCTAATCCAACTGAGGGTTTCATCACCCATGGTGCCCACTGCTCAGCCTGAGGGGACTGGACAGTGGCTGCATATGTAGACCTCGCTCATTCCAGATGGATGAGATTTGGAAAAGAAGAGCAGCCTCTATTTATAGTTGTGCTCCAGGTCTGGCAAATGTTAAGGGGTTTTCAAGTAGAAAAATAGACCAATCCAGGCATGGTGATTCACCCTGTAATCCCAGCACTCGGGAGGCTGAGGCAGGAGTATTGTTGCAAGTTCGAGATCAGCCTGGGCTACAAAGTGAGCCCAAGGCCAGCCTGAACTAGAGAGACCCTGCCTCAAAAAGACAAAAAAAAAAATTTTTTTAAGAGCTGGGGATTTAGCTCAGTGGCCTAAGGGCCTGCCTTGTAAGCAATGCTGTTGTGAGTTCGATCTCCGGTACCGATAAAATAAATAAAAAACCAAGCTCACAGTAGGGACTGGAACGCCTGTCCTGCTGGGTAACAGGTGCCCATCCAGTGCCCTGAAACCATCATGCAGTGAAGTACAGAGTGCAGGGAGGAGAGGGGCAGGAATCGAGGCTAAAGAGGCAGCCTGCAGAACATGATGCTAGGGAGCTTGGACTTTACCTGCATACAGTGGCCAGCATCAGAATCAGACTGTGTTGGTAGGATGGGCACATCTGGACAATATTTAGAGCTGAGAAAATGTTGGCCTTGTTGCAATAGTCTGAATATTGGTGTGCTGCATCTGGTGCCTAAGAGCTCACAGGAGGCAATCTTTAAAGTGTCAGAAAATTTGGAGCCAATTGTTAAATTCTATGACTGCTGTGATCTGGTTGCTAGGATACAACCATCAGTAAACAATATACATTTGCAAATAAATTATACTTTTTATTTAGAGAAAAAAGCAAAACAGAAAAAAGGGCAGAAACACTACAAAATTTCAAAAAATAACTAAGAAATCGCTGCTTGATACATTACATATTTTTATCTTAGAGGTAGTTGTTCAAGTTACAAAATCAAAGCATAAAAAGTGAACAATGACAATACAAAATATTCTGTTTCATAAATTAACAAAAATTTAGTAATATGGTTATCTATCCTGCACACTTAAACATACATAGTTATAACCATTACAGCACTTTCTTTCCCTTTCATTATTATATATTTTGGATCTTATTTCTCTTTCAGTTTTTATTGTTATTTTTATATTAGAGAGATGATACGATATCTACAAATGTGAGTCTGATTTATTTCACTTACGAGGATAGTCTCAAGTTGCCTCCATTTACCTATAAAAGCCTCAAGATCACCCTTTTTATAGCTGAGTACTATTCCATTGTACAAAATATGGCATCTTTTTTATCTATTCTGCAGTTGATGGGCATTTTGATTGTTTACGATATTTGGCTTTTACAAATTGTGCTGTTATGAACATGAGTGCACATATATCGGTGTGACATGACCTTTTCAAATTTTCTGGGAAAATATCCAGGAGGGGAATAGCTGGACTGAATGGAACTTCCAATCCTAGTCTTCTGAGAATTCTCCATACTGATTTCCATAGTGGCTGCACCAGTCTACACTCCCACCAACAGTGGAGCAGTGTTCCTTTTCCCCTGCAGCCTCACCAACATTCGTGATCAGTTGATTTCTTGATGGCAGCTATCCTTTCTGGAGTGAGATGAAATCTCAGTGCTGTTTTAATTTGCATTTCTCAAATGACTGGTGATGGTGAACATTTCTTCATGTATTTATTTGCCATTTGTATATCTTCATATACTTTAAAGCAAAAGTAATCAGAACATATCACTTTCTACTTTGCCGCATGTTATTATTACCCATATTCACACCTCTGTGTACATCGCCTTATCTATACGGTAAATACCATTTAAAGGTGTGTCCCTGCTGACTCCTCAATGTTGCAGTTGAGGGCGGCAAGTCTGTACCGTGAAATTATCCACAGAAAAAATATTTACAACACAGAAATCAGAAAACCATACGAATCAGGAGAGTTTCGCTGTGGCCTTGGAACTGGTGGTTAAGTTGTTCCAGTACACCAGTGAGTGTGAGCATCCCACTGAGCACCAGAGGACTTGGTGACCATTTGTTACCTGCTGTGTACTTATAAATCCATAAGGTGGCGCTCTGAACAAAAGAATCAAAGAGCTAGTACAGAGAAAAACCACCAAGTTGAACACAAGCCTTTATGAAACATCAAACTGAGATGAGAATAATGCATGTAAGTCCATGGAGTCTTTTCATAGTTTTCTTAAACTGTGCCCTACAATTTTAGCCTGAACTCAGCAACAAAGAAGCTGGATCAGTATAATGCAGCTTTAATGCACCGTAACATTTTGCAGTGAGTCACGCAACCCCAAGTCCCTCTGTGCTCCCACACTGCCTGTATTCATGGCTGCCAAACAAATCTCTTGTTCCCTGCCCACCAAAAGAGACACTACTGCTCTACTGTATAGCTACTGGATTTTAGAATAACTTAACAAAAAACAGATGATTTTAAAAGAAAAAATAGTACAGTGTTTCTAAGCTTTGAAGTCAGACACAGTTGGACTCAAATCCTGACTAGTCACAAATCTGTGTGATAAAGACAATGATTATCTACTTCTCCTGGAACGTTTGGAACTAAATAACACAGAGAACCATGCTCAGCACAGAATACGTCTTCAAACAATATTAGCAATGATCACAGTTACTTTTTTCAATCAATAGATCTTGGATCAGAATTTTGTCCACTTTCTCCTCCTTTTCTGGTGCTATTCTAGTCTCTGCCCTTGTCTTTTTCAGCCCAATATGCATAATTAGCTCAAAGAAACAGCTGACTTATCTATAATGTGAAGAAATTTCAAGGTACTAACTATGCAAAGTTGAGTTAAATCACAGGTTTGTATTGCAAAATGGAGTAAACATATTTGAAAAGCATTAAACAATCCCTTTAAAGGTCTTTCTGATCGCCCCTTTAACTCTATAGCTTCCCCCTTTTGGCCTCAACTCCCGGGTTAAAGAGATCTTCTTCCCCTCCATGTCCTGAGTTGAGCTTTTTACCATCCTTGCTATGGGACATGGTCTTTCTTTTTTGGACCTTGGCATTGCCACTGGTGGTTCCTGTTGAAATTGTGGCCCCTGATTGAAACAGAATACTTGCTAAATGAGTGTTTCTGGATCACACTTGCACTTTTCACAAACTCCCTAGGTAGTTATCACAGGTCCTAAGGTTTGAAACTCACTAAGCTGTCCTTAAGCAGCCACTCCTTATTTTTTAATTTATCAAGTGTTTCCTGAACATTTGTTACATGCAAGTGTGGAGCAGGAGTTGGAGACAGAGAATGCAGGCTTGGATCTGCACCGAGAATCGGCTCCCACAGACCTTGTTCGTTAGTTACATTGATTACTGCAGCCCAGCCCAAGGTCCCGGGGGAAGCCCCCACACACACACCCCGCACCTTCTTTGCATGCCGCCAGGAGCCGCAGACCCTGGGCTTCAGAGCACAAGCCCTTCTGCTTCTACCCCTATATATCCAAAAAACACTATACTTTTCAGCCTTCAAATATCGTCATACTGCTCAGCCTTTTTTCAATTCCAGTGAGCGTGCTTTCTTAAACCTAGTATTTTCTGTTTCTTTACCAATACAAGATTTAAAAAAAAAAAAATTCCCCAACAGGTCTGGGGAAAACCTGCTGGTCCTTGAATGAGAATTTGTAAAACCTCAAAAGTCTGTGTGTGTCTGTATACAATTTTTTTTTTTTTTTAACCAAAGATCAAACTCAGGACCTCGTGCTTACCAGGCAAATGCTTGAGTCACTGAGGTAAATCCCCGGCCCTATATATTTTATAATTGAAAGTTTTCAGTCCCTTTTGAGGAAAAAGAGGCTTCTCAATTAAAACCATTTTAGGATGATAAACTTCTTACAAATTCTAACATTTCACAAGTACTATTCTTTAAAATTAGTGATGGTATAACAATAAAAGCCACCCTCTATAGTACTAGATTATCTCAACTGTCTCTCATTTCTCTCCTTAATTTATCTTATTGTTAAACATACAGCCACATATATGAAAAAAATAAAAGTCATTTGGAAGGGGCTGGGGATTTAGCTTAGCGGCATAAGTGCCTGCCTTGCAAGCAGGCAGTTCGTGAGTTTGATCCCCGGTACCAATAAAAAGGAAAAAGACAAAAAAAAAAAAAAAAAATCATTTGGAAGAAAAAATCTAAATTACAGATTCATGCTCAGTCTTTTGGTTTTTAACCCAACCTACAATACAGTATTTGCCTTCTTCCTTTAGGAGCATTTACTGGGAGGAAAACATGTTTCTTCTCTTTTCACAGAATATCCAAATACGCAGCTTCCATGAGCCCTGCTGAGGTGGAGAGAGCAATTGAGATGGCGCTGCGGGCCTGGAGTAGCGCCGTCCCTCTGAACTTTGTGAGAATAAACTCAGGAGAAGCCGACATTATGGTATCTTTTGAAACTGGAGGTACTGGTGCTTCTTGGATTTTGTCTATTAAAGCAAAGAAGAACTGTCCCACTGTGTCTAAGACTTCTATGTCTTTTATGCAAGCTATCAGCATGTCCTCCATCACACAGGGTTGTGATCGGCAGAGGCCAAGACCCTGGCAAACTGATGATCTTCATGTGGCCTCAAAATAGAGAGAAAGGAGTTCTTAGCATTTCTGGTCATCATCACACTCATCAGGACAGGCTCACCATAACAAGCTTTCAGTGTGGCTTTGTCCCATTGGGGGATAACTTCTGTCAGATTTCACCTTCCCATGGGCTCAGAGGCCACCTGACCTCAGCCATTCCTAGGATAAGATTCCGCACCATTACCCTCTTTCATAGTAGCCAGAATCCCCCACCTATGTCCTCACTGAAGGAAATAAATTCCACAGAGACCCAATGCAGCTTTTCCTCTGGAGCGATGATTAGGACCCCTTCTGGAGGGTGCGTGGCATTTCAAATTGCAACTCGCTCCCTTTTCTGATCCCTCATTCATCCTGGAAGGAGTAAAGCATGAGTTTGCACAGAGAATGGTGCCGAGCTCTGAGCCCTTTCCAGAGAAACACCAGGTAGGAAGGGAGACCCAAATGGCCCGTGGGGTTCCGTTCCCTCCTCAGCTTCCTAGCAGTGTGCTAAGTGAGAACCACTGCCTCTACCTCTCCACAGACAATGTTTCTAGAGTCCTTGACATTTCAGGTACTGGTCTTAATTTTAATGTGATGGCACTGTGGAAAACACCCTGTGGAGCTAGGAGAGAGAAGATCAAGTAAGTCTGGAGTCTAACCCCTTTAGAAATGGCCCTAAATGTAACTTAGCTCTTGGAAGATTCTGTTCCTTACAGCAGACGAAGGCCACTTGGTGGAGAGGGAGGAAAGTGTGGCTCAGGGCAGCTTTGGAGGACATAGAGTTAATATGTGGTTTCCTACTATAAAAAATTAATACCAGGAATAAATTTTAGCATCAATACTATTCACAGCATCCGTTCTCTGTGCCTCTGAAATGCTGGTACTTGACCATGTTGTCATTTCCTGTTGTTTAGATCACGGGGATTCCTACCCATTTGATGGGCCTCGAGGGACTCTAGCCCATGCATTTGCACCTGGAGAAGGCCTAGGAGGAGATACACATTTTGACAATGCTGAGAAGTGGACTTTGGGGATGAATGGTATATATGCACAATTCACCATAACCTGGAAAATATTGTACCTTCTTCTGAGCCTCCATCATGAAACCTTGAGGTTCAACGTCCCTAGCCACCCTTTAACTAGGGGGGCTGGCTAGCAAAAACAAGTAAGCCAAAAATCCACAGGGGAACAAAAATCCACAAGGGAAAAGACCCACCCAAGATTATACTGTAGAGTTGTCTAATGATCTCTGTTTCATAGCATATAATCTCAAGAACCGACAATCCCCTCCTCAGCACATAACTCTCTTTTTTGTCAATTATGTAGTATTTATTTTTTTCTTGCTAGTGTTTGGGGTAAAAGTTTCATTCAGAAATGATCTAAGAGGATCAGTGTATCCTGAGAAACATCATGGGGATGGGGATGAAGATTCCAGAGTAACATGCAGGTCATCTGAAACCTTCAGTATGAAACATGTGCATGAAGAGCTGTAGGCTCTGATAGCAGAAAACTATGTAGGCATTGGTGGTCTTCCATTGCCACTATTAACTCCAACGTCCTCCTTTATCAAGCTATCAAGCATCTTACCCAAACCCAACAGGAGGAAAAAAACTAGATTGAATTCAGCAAAACTAAGAGTCAAAATAGCCTGTCGAACTTTGAATAGTCCAGATGATTAGGACATAAATTCTCTTATAAAGACAGATGATAGAGAAAACAAATACCTGTGTTGATGCAATTGTTCTTTCTCATATTGTTTAGGTTTCAATTTATTTACTGTTGCCGCTCATGAATTTGGCCATGCCCTGGGTCTGGCCCATTCCACAGACCCATCGGCACTGATGTACCCAACTTACAAGTACAAGAATCCCTATGGATTCCGCCTTCCTAAGGATGATGTGAAAGGGATCCAGGCATTGTACGGTATGATGACTACACTTCTTTTTACCACTAACTCTGAAAGTGACAGGCATTCAGTTTCCAATTTTTAAAAAGTTCCATTCCAGGAGTCATCTGCATAAGCAAATTACACTATAGACCTCAGCCCCAGTGATGTGTTTCTGTGAAGTTTATTCACTAGTTATGAATACTGCTTTCTTTTTTCTTTTCTACTATGTGCAATTAAATTTTGCATCTTTTTTCCAAAATAGTCTGGCCTTGACTGGACATAAGAACACACAGTCATTTGTTTTTCTAGTAGGTAAAATGTTATACAAGAGAAGAACGTGGATATATTTTATAGTTTACATATACCATGTTTGCCCATCTGTAGATAAGTGGCCTTAGCTTCCTAACAATAGCTATGGTGTTAATAATAACTCCACCACTCAGGTGTACATATAATCTGTACTTCATGGAACATGATCACACATATCAGATGTCACCCTTGTGACAAGGCTGTAGGTGTGAATTTGTTCTCCTCGTTTGATAACTGAAAAAGCCAAGGTCAAAGACAGTTAAGCATCTTATGATATTCAAAATTACCTGAAGTGTTAACATTCTTTCGAAGGGTAAGAAAGGACTCTTAGAAAATCTATATCCAGTTTTCCTAAAAGGCAAAACAATACATGAGAAAGAATCTCAAAACATCTTTGCATATTCACAATTTCTCTTTAATGAATAAAAGAACAAAAAATTGGAGGGGACTTTCCCTGGGCCTTGAAGACCAGGGTCATCAGCCTCACTTGTCAGAACCTCTCCACATCCTCTCAGCCTAACAGGCCGGGACAGGCACCCCTCTCAGTGGCTTCCTGCCTGTTTGTGAGTCAACCAGCTAAGAGGTGCACACATGTGCAGACAGATGTTGCCCAAGGCACAAAAGACAGAATGAATCCAAAGACACCTTTGGGGAGCTCTAATTTCCAGAAAGGGTAGGTGCTATTTCTGCTACCTCCTAAGGGACAGGTAATGCTGTGAATATCCAATTTTATAAACTCTTCAAAGCATACATGGGAAAATTCAAAGTGAAGCAATTCTCAAGGGCTGCCAAGAAGGCACAAGCCCATATACTTGCCTGTTGCGGTATCACCAGGCCAGGAACCAAAGCATGTGTTTCGACATGGTCATTTATGCACAAGAGAGCTTTATGTCTGCAGGGAACAGAAATATCACCCCCTCCAGACCACCTTTCATTCCCGGTCACCATATTTCCAGTGTTTTACCTTCTTTCAAAGCCTCACCTCTGACCCTCATTCCATTGCTGACCCGTCCTCTCCCCCTATGCCAGTCTATCTCTGCTCCTTACTGGGCCCTGGACTCTTGCCCTGTTCTCATTCCTTCCCTGATTCTCACCTTGGGCTGCCTCAAGCTTCATCAAGGAGTAGGGTCTTCCAAAGACAATGATTAAGGCAGCCCCAGCTCATTCTTCTATAGTTGGCAGGGATGCAGTGGGAGATGCAAACACCAACAATTCCCCCAAGGAATGAGTCCCAGTTTCACGAGTAGATCCACCAGGAGATATCTTGATCTCCACTCAGCCTGTCCTCAGTGACTCAAGAAGCGTTGAGCAGAGTGCAGGATGTCAAGGAGTACAGGGAAAAAATAAAAAGTATGCAAGAAAGTTCTAATTTTCATGATAAAAGTAACTTAATTACAAAGAAATAACAAATTTTAATCACAGTATACTTCTAATTCAGAGAATCTGTAGCTACCAAGGAAGTTGTTAATGACAATAAAAGAATATTCTTTAAACATTTACTGTGCGCCAAGCTTTACAAAAGTTACTTAATTCTTGTAACACTCTTTGGAAGTAAATCCTGTAATTACCGTTCCTATTTTTACCCGAGAGGAAGCTGAGACTCTAAATAGTTAATGTATTTGTCTCAAATCACAAAACTTGACAACTAGGAAATCCAAGATTCCAACAAAGGTCTATGTGTCACTGACAGCCATCTCTTTGTGATGTCATGCACAGAGTGAATGTGGTGAACATCTCTAGAGCAGTGGTGTGCAAACTCTAAACTCCTGGTATGATTTTTGACCAAGAGATTTTGAATCCTAGGACCTCGGAAACCATACCTGGGAAAACCCACTGTTCCCCACCTACCTCCTCGCAAACCATCCATCCCTGATGTGTGTGACTCCAGCTCATCCTTTGATGCAGTAACAATGCTAGGAAAGGAGCTTCTGTTCTTCAAGGATAGGTAAGCCTAAAACACACCAACAGCAATTGTCAGGCCTCAGATCACCCCCAAACCATCATCCTAGAGGTCCTTGTTGCTGCTGTGTCTGAAGATGACGCAGAAATGGTGTCTAATTTAGTGTGGGCAGCAGAAGTCTTTGGGTACGTATAGAACTTCCAAAACTGCTGTTTGTAGAGCCCCACTAGGTCTTGGTACTGTGCTAGATCCTTTTCACACATGTACAGTATTTAATCTAAACTTTTTCACTTTAGAGATTAGAATCTCCAATTTACAGAGGAAGAAAGCAGCTCAAATAGACCAAGTATATTTCCCATGGTTACAGTTAAGTGACTGAACTAGGATATGAAATCAAAATTATGTGATACCTGTTTTCTTTACTACTATGTGGTTAGTAAGAGCACTTAGTAAGTATTCAATAAGTATTTGGTAAAATAATGTTGGCTACCTGAGCAGTTGAGCATATAGGTGGATGGATGGAAGGATGGATGGATGGATGGATGGATGGATAATCAGATGAATAGATAATGTGTGGATGATTCTAAGGTAAGCCCTCTTCCTAAAATCCTCTTTTTCAAGGCCTCTCAACCTTCCCCCTTGTCAGTCATCAACTAGCACAGATAAAATATATCCCTTTCTCCCCATACTTCAGCTTTTCAAGGAGTATGGCTACTGTCTCCATAACACTGGGAACTGTAATTACTTCTTTCTGAGAAGACAAAAAGCAACTCCCACCTACATTCTTCCCTTTACTGGAGACAAAGTTCAGTCACACTAGAACAGACAGAGAGGCTCAGGAGTGTACATGTGTATGACACTTCTTTCCTTCCATGGAAAAGTGTTCACTGAACCTATTCGGGTACCAAGCACTCTCGCAGTGTCTGTAGACATGAAAATAGATTGATACCCACGCTACCTTTGAATACCTCATAATGGCTTGAGAAGGGACATTCAAAACGCATTGCAAAACAGTGTGATGCATACTATATAAGGTGGAGCTATGAGATAAGGACAGAGAAAAAGCACCTGGGGATGTCCAGAGAAGGCTTACAAAAGAGATAGTGTCTGAAAAATTTCATGTTTCTTTTGGGGATAGATTTTTTAGCTATTATTATAAGAATAATTGTGTTCATTCAGAAAAGAGAGAGAGCACCGATTTTTAAAAAGAAATCCTAATTTGCACAGAACCTTATGCCCAAAATACTTGAGCTGCCATAACAGGATACCCTAGACAGGATAATGTAGACAGAAATTTCTTCTAGAAACTCAAGGCAAGGGCTGACAAGGCAGGTTTCATGCTAAGGCCTCTTCCTTTGGTTTCCTGTAGGCAGCCAACTTCTCACTGTGCTCATGTGACTCTTCTTAAGCACGGAGGGAGAAGGAAGGGAGAGCAAACCAGCTTTCTGTGCCTCTTTTTATAAGGCCACTAAATTCCATCCCAGAGACTCGCCCTCATTACTTCATGTAAGCCTAATGGTTTCCCCAAAGCCCATCTCCAAATACCATCAAAATAGGAGTCAGAGATTCAGCCTATGGATGAGGGGCACAAACATCCTGTCTGTGACACAGACTAACACAGCAGCTAACTGTGCTGTTGCATGTTCTCCGGGCCTTTTCTCTGAATTGAGTTATATGATGTAAATAAGAGACAATGGCAAGGATTTAAAAAACATTTTACTAGTTTTGTTGATTTATAAAATTTTTTCACATAACAATATTTCATTTTAAATTCACTTTTTCTGGGGGGGAGGGGGTACCGGGAATTGAACTCATGACCTAGCACTTGCCAGGCAGGTGCTTATGCCACTAAGCTAAATCCCCGGCCCCAATATTTCATTTTAAATAAATTTTAATCTTAATTTTTTATATATGATATGTTATTGCAATGAATAGCTATAGCATTACTTTTTTTTTAAAAAATCCCATACTTATGAACATCTATACTGTTTCCAAATTTAAAAATTAGGGATATCTTGAACTAAATGTGTAAGAATAGATAGGTATTTCATTTTCAAAGGCAGATTAAGGCAGGAGCCCAGGCTTCCTTCTCAAGTGGGCTTGAATCCTGGCCCCCACTCACGAAAGAGGCAACCTTGGGCGAGTAACATTCGAATCACACGAAAGTGCACAGTAAATGGCAGTTGCCATTTTGAGGAAAAAGAATATTTAAAAAATAGTACTGTGCCATGGCAGTGTAGAGGTAGTTAGAGTATTGAGAGAACCCAGTTGATTTCTTTTTATTTATTCTTACTGATTTTCAATTTTTTCAGACTTACTATCATGATGTCATTTCTATTAACTTTTTTTGTTGACCTAAAATAACAATAGAGAGAAAGGATCTCTAAAGAAATAGCAAATTTATTCAGGAATAAGAAGGGAACTATAATCCAGGACAATTTTCTGTGACAAATCACAAGGGCATCTCAGGAGGTGACAGCAATGGAGTGAAGATTTTTGAAACAAGGTGATTAGTCACGGAGGCTCTGAACAAGCTGGCGATTACTCACTTACAGCGCTGAGTAGCTGCAGAGGTGTCTTCACAGAAGTAACTTGCCCCGTGTGCTTGTCTGTCAGAGAACTCTTGGAGTAGTTCTTAGCTCTGACACACAAGCATAATGCCCACCCCAGCCCCACCGTGGGAGCTCCTGGCTCTGCTTTGGTTTGCATCAAACATAAGTGACTACATCTTGGCATTAGCAGCTTTTACTTTACTGAAAACTAAACCAGGCAGAATTGATAGTCGATGGCCCAGGGGTGTCAAAAAAGTTGTAGGACAGGGAAACTCGGGACACTAGCTTCACCAGATATGACACTGTCAGATACTGAATGAAACAGCATGCAGCACTTTCTCCACAATAAAGCAATGCACCAATCGTCATGTAGAGGGCAAGTCATTCTTCGGGTAAATATCAGCAGTTGCAGTAGAGACAAGGCTGTGAGTTCAGAGATACGTTACAGTTTCGCTCAATTATCATTCTCTAAGATGCAAAACCAAACAAATACCTATCAAGCAACATTTATCAGTTATGAATGATTATTTGAAGATGAAATGTCCTTTAACATAGTCTTGACTATTGAATACTGAGAGTGATAGTGGAAGAGAAAAGAGAGCTAGATACGAGGCATCCAAAAATGAATAATCAGGGGAGGGTGTAGAGAGGAAGAGATGGCTGACTAAGAATGTGATAAGCTATTGCGGTAGGGCAGACAATTCCAAAGAACTAGGAAGACATAGAAGCAGGACAGTGGTCAGGGCTGGATTTGCCTCTGATTCACCACAGACCATGGGCCTCTCCCTGTGCTCTGTAAAATGAGGGTGTTGTGTGATATTAATAATGACTCAATGTGTTCAGTACTTACAACAGTAAACACTTTGTTATCAAATGCATATGGCGCCCTGTGAGTTATAAGGCAGAGGAAAAGTAAGCAGCCGGGTCAGGAGCATATGGCTAAAGAGGCTGAAGCTGAGTCCACACATCAGAGCTGTCACACCCTAACTCCCCCAATCTGTAACCTCCTAAGGCGTCACCCAGAGCTGGAATTCCATGACTGTGTAGCCCTGATCCTCCTCCTGGCTGCCACCAAAAGTCCCAGCCTGAACAAAGAACAAAGAATTCTTTCAAGTCCCGGTTATATTGGCAGCCAGAGAGCCATTGATTATGAAAGGGCTCGTGTCTGCTCTCTCCTACTCATCAGCCTGGAATTCCCAGTCACCAGCAATAATCTGTTGCTGTGACATTTCAAGCTGTGAAGTAATACTAACAATTTGTTTCCAAAGCAAGATGGGATGTAAGGCCTTTTGAAGCCCCTTTAAGGCTGTTAAATACTCTGTATAGTGCATAAGCACATTCAAATGTTCTATGGACAGCAAGAGAGAAATGCTGCATTTGTGGCCACACTAAAAGTATACTTGCATCTTTCCTTTAGTTGGGATTTTATCCAATATACTTTCATGATAAAATCAAGAATGTCACAAGCACTTACAGAGTTTAAAAGAATAATAGATTTCACAAATGGATCCAGCATAATGATTCATCATGTCCAAACCCTACATTTTAAAGAGCAGGTAATTAGACCCAAGTTCCTCAATACAGCAGAACTTACCCTACAGGCCAGAGCTTCTGACTCCTAGTTAGAATTTATCTTATCACTAACGTGGGCCATCTGCTGGCTATGAAACAAGCCGCTAAGCACTGGATTTTAACTTGAACGATGCATGCTTTTCGACTGTTACACACTTGAATTAGTAGGAAAAACATTTTCATGTTGTCCTCAGACTCTGCTTGCAGATTGGATCGCCACCGCTATGAAGTATTACTTTCCTCAAAAATGTTTGTTTTATTTTAAAAAAGTGGATTACTAACTGTTGCATTTTAAAAGATATTATATAGCTTACAATGCAAAGAAAGACATTTCTAAGGGTTATGCATATAGGAAATAAAGAGAAGGATAAGTGTAAGAAGCATTCTGTAGCACTCACCAGCAGAATCAGGACACTAATTTGGCCAGAACAATGGAAAAGAAGACTCAAAGAAGGAAATAGCCATAAGACTGAGAGAATTATAATACCATTATTTGTATTAGAAGAGTCAAGGGAATTTTTTCGGACACATAAAGGAATGTCAGATGTGTCAGACTTAAAGTGATGATTGTGCTAGCAGGGTTTTGTATGAATGAGCTCATGCGTGACAGCTGGAAATCTCGTGGGCTTTGATCCTTCCATGTGGAAGAAGCAATTAAAGATGTGAGCATAGATAACAGATCTGAAGAAGGAGCAGATCTAAAGAGAGAGAAAACAAGAAAATCTAAGGAATGAGCCTCAGAAAAAACAACATGGAGGAAAAGCATTGAATAAAGGCCAGAATGAGCTAGTGCCCTAAAATTAGTAATAACAACAATGGTGGCTCACATTTCATAGTCATCTGTGAGGTCCTGTGAACTATGCTAAGCATTTCACACCCTTTAATTCATTTAATCCGCACTGTTTGATTTCTCAGCTGGAATGTTACCCTCCATCTTCTTGATATCAGAAATAAAATCCCCGTGGTACAGCCCCAGATAAATCAGGGAAAGGAGGTTTATCTTAATTTTGGTGTTTGTTTTGTTCTTATGACCAACAGTGGAAAATGATACCAAGGTCACCAGACTGAGGACTGAAGAAGAGACTGATTGACCAGGATACTTATGGATCATGGTCACAGAAGAGTGAGGATCAGGGAAAGTCCCAAAAAGTTACAGAGCAAATGGTGGAGGAAAGAAAGTCGTAGCTAGAGATCCGCTGGAGAATCTTGTTACTAATAAAGAATGTTAAGATAATGGCTGGCAGCAGGGTCATAAGAGGATTTCAAAGATGAGAAATGTTCATGCTTGCTTGAAAGCATGAAAAAGAGCCACGAAGAAGAAGAAATGCAAAATACTATAAGAAAGAGGGGCAGTAAAATCAATAACCACGGCAGCTAAAGCATTTGAATGTCAAATTTCTCAGGTCCCACAGCTTGCAGAAAGCCCCAGCAAGTCTTCCTCCTCCATACATCCCCTGGGGCTGTCCCTCTGCTTGCTATAAGTTTGCTTCATTTACAGTCAAAAAACAATATTGCATTTACTTAGACCAGTTGCTGATGTGTTAAGAATTTAGACAAAGAAACAAGTGAACTAAGATCTCTGACTCTCTAAGATGGATGTAACATGATGCTCCTCAGATGGATGTAAATTCTCTTCAGGACATAATGCACAGCTTTGACTTTTTAATTCACATAACTGTCTACACATGGGTTTTTGTTTTATGAGCTGTACTTTCCTTGTCAGGGAAGAGGATGATGCATGGTTGATTTCTTGGCCTCTGAAGCACTTTAAGATATGCTACTATATTTGAAGTGAAACCAAAAAATGGATGACCTTCTCAGCCATTGTCCTGATCACATGGACCTCAAAATTTCCAGTGAAACAACTTCAAAAGGAGGTTTTTACATATCATCAATGAATAGATTTGTGGAATTAAGACATTAAGAATCTACTAGTAATTGTAAGAATAGACCGGAATTTATAAAACATTTTCATATGCATAGTGTCAAGTGATCATTTGTAGTACTTATGCAAGGTATTATTATCTTATTTGACAGAAATTGAGTATATTTGACCATTTGAGGTCAAATGACTCACTTATCTAGTGTAAAAAGTTTCTAAGCATCTTCAGGCATTAAGCAGCAATTAAGCTGAGAGCATCAAAAGGATAGAAAAAAGAAACATACTTTTCTCCTGAAAACCAAATAACAGGAAAATGCCAGGAAACAGAATCACAGGTCAAAGGGAGTGCAGCTGAAAAAGGGAGAGAGTGAGGTACTCATTCAGCTGGGACTGCATTGCCTTGTTAGTACCGGGAATAGGACGGAAGGCGTCCCCTGGAAAGGGAAGACCCGGAAGCCAGCTTAGGTAGTTGGAAAGTGGAGTTGCGTGGGTATAACACAAAAGAACAAAGGTTTAGTTCAGCAGTAAAACATGTGCTTGGAATGCTGAAGGAACTGGGTTCAAAAAGAAAAGAAAATATTCAACAATATGGATCAAGATACAGTATTTCCTGCCAACCTCCTGGCACCTGTTTACTTCCAACAAATATTTATTGAACAGTGATTATGTGCCAGGTATGTGTTAGTTCCTGGGTACACAGAGATCAATAGTGCAGCTAAATATCTAATCATCTGGTCTACAGTATCAGTAAGCTTCATTGTTTTGCCTTCCTTATCAAAGATCAGATTACAGACTATTGACATGGTCTGTTTATTTTTTTACTTAGTTCCAATATATATGTACTGTAGCTGTTCTTTTACAAAATAACTCAGTTTTTTAAAATTATACTTTAAATCCATTTTAGATGTATTAGATCACTGTGTGGGCATTTTTGTTCAATTTTAATTCATTTTAGTATAACAAAATACAGTAAAAATATAAACACACTATACCTTAGCCCTAATGTTGTAAATTCCCTGAGAATATTTTCTTTTTGTTTTATTTTCTACCAGATGTAATTTTTCTTCATTAACTCATGGAAATTTTCATGATTACAAGTTCCTTTCAGAATTTGTGATAATTTCCATAAGTGACACATAATATTTATTTTCATCTTATGCATACAATATGTCGTATCAGTGCTTAAATTAGTATTTCTTATTTTTGACTGTACTACTATTTTGAGCCAGGTTGTGCCACCTTGTCCATGCAGAGTATTTAATTGTATCCCTGGTTCTGATAGCCTTGTTTAGCTTTAGTTGTGACAACCGAGATTATCAAGAGGCATTGCCAAATGTCCTCCGGGGCATGAAATTTTACTTGGCTTAGAATGATTTCAATTTAGCCATCATAATACACACAGTATCCTCAATCAAGATTTATTTTTCAGAAATTTAAGGTTCTACCACCTATGAAAATTTTCAAAAGCATTTTGTTTTTTTTGTCCTCTTAGCCACTATTTATAGTGATTGATTCAGGACATCAGTGTGTCCATAAAAGGCAGGGATTTAATTTTCCCTAGAGTTCAGTCCCTTATTGGTATTTAAATGAGAAGTAAGGAAAAATCCCCTGACCCCTGCTTTAAGATTCAAAGGAGAAAGCCAAGAGAAGTTGGCTACACCCATCAGAGACAAGTCAGACAGAGTCCATTTTCTTCCCATTTCCCATCCTCAGTCTGACCATGACAAACCCTTGAAATGCACACTCTGCTCCTTAGCAGTGCCTTGGACAGAGTCAGCATTGCAGCACTGTGACTGAACTGCATCAGTTGGGAAACACTTGACCTGGGATTCCTCACCAGGTTACCAATTAAAAAGTAGTTGCCGGGAACCCAAAGCCACGCTCATCGTGAGGTGGGGGAAAGAAAAAAGAGAAACAGTTTCTTCAGAGAAGTCCAAGTCTCCTGGGACAAAAGATCAAGTTAGAAACAAGGAAAAAAATCAGAATTCATAAGACTGAGAATGGGCAAGTATCTGAGACAGGATATGTGATCAAAATCAAGACAGCTGGAGTTTAATCCAGGTTCTGCCTACCCCTAACAACCAAGTGATCTTTGAGCCCATCAGCCTTTCTGGGTCTCAGTTTTCCATACGCGATACCTTTGTTCCAGATAAGGCTGTGATATTTGGGGTCTAGAGCAAGGCAGTGCACCCTACATGGGCTCCCTCCACCCTGTTTATTGCCCATAGTTGAGGTTTAATTAATGAGAAACCAGGCAGATAATTTATAACATGGATAGTATCTGTCCATATGATACTGACAGTTGATGATACACTCTACATGCATTATCCCATTTCGTCCTCCTAACATCTTATGGCACTGGCCAGGGGATGATCATTCTCATTTAGAGCTGAAACCAGGTTTGGAGATGCTGAGCAGCAGCAGAGCTAGAACTCTACCTTGTATCTTCTGAAACACCATGAGTTTTTTCTTCTGCATCAGAACTCTAAGGAAACATGGAAAAATGTTTTTCTCTTCTATGGATGTCTCTTTTTGGGGTTTTATAATCAATTTAAATGTCCTCTGAGATGCTTGACTCAACCCCAAAATGTGATGAGGTATCCTCCTGCATGTCCTTAGAGCATCCTGAACTTAACTGTATGCCATTGATCACTGACTCGAAATTACCTGGTTGTTTATCAATCCCTTCTCTCAGATTAAAAACATACTGAAGGCAAGCCCTCAATTTTATTCAGTGTTTTGTCCTTGATACCTACCCCAGAGCCTCAGGAGGCAGGTGCCATAAAAATTCAACATAAGATTTGGGGAGTGCCTATACTAACTATATGCCAAATGTCAAACCTTCATGACAGCTTATCTGTTTTCAAATAATTTTGTCCAGTAATCCTGGGTTTCTAAATAGTCAAGCTATACATGCTTTGTTTCTTAATTTTTTATCAGAATATGTTTACAGGACATGTGATTTACAGTCATCTTGGGGAATAAGTACATGTACATGATAGATCCTGCTTTTTTAAAAATCCCTTTCTTTCTCTCTCCCCTCCCTCCTCCTACACATTTTATAAAAAGTTTTCATCTCAAAAATGCAAAATGACAATATTTCCATTGGGATTTTCAGCCCAGCACCTTCATGTGTACATTGCCACAATTTTATAGAAATAATATTGGATAAGTATATGAATATATTGCTAAATCTGAAGTTGATATATATGGTTTCCTGTTAGTTGGCCACCAAGTTCAAAGCTACAGATACTACCAACAGATAATCACAGACACAACACTAGAATTTATGATTATTAATGTTTTTCCTGTTTGTACAGGAAATAATTAGCACCTCCCAAACACAAACTTTCAATTCACTTACACAGTATTTGTCATGTTCATCTTATTTTATTTATTTCCTTGAGATTTTTATCTTTCAAAGACCAGGAAATAGAAATTTGATATTTGGAACAGGGACATAGAGTTTTAATGTGTAAGTCATTAATGCTATTTCCTTGTGATATCCTTGATGTTTTGAACATCCTTAAATAAGTGAAGAAAAAGAGATCTCAGAGAGCTGAGAAAATGTATAAAGGGAGAAGAAATTGTTTATAAGGTAAAAATATGTGTTATTTTTTAAAATACAGCTAGAGAACAGGGGCCAGTTAACATTGACCTCTGAAATGTTCTTGCAGTCCACACTTTAAGATCTAATCAAACCTTGATCCTGATTTCTCTCCAAACGCCCACCAGGATTTTCTGGCGACGGCAGGTTCACTTGCTGTCAGAGATTCGGCCAAGGACTATTACCAGCTCTTTCCCTCAACTCATGTCCAACGTGGATGCAGCTTATGAAGTGGCTGAGAGGGGCACTGCTTACTTCTTCAAAGGTAATCTACGATCTCTCAAAGAAAGAGAAAGCACAGGTTCCACCTATTTGGAACAGGTTGGATATGAAATGCCACCCTACCCTGTTGTGACCGTGGCGGGAATGGCAGTGACCATCCATTTGTCCTAACCCAGCCTCTGAGTTCAGGGAGGCAGCATTCTAAGTGACCACGGTCAGGAAGCCTGAAGCCTGCTCCCCGCCCCTCCTCTCAGAGCGACATGGTGCAGCACACTGAAAACCTTTAACATTGAACAGTACCCCAGCTGCAGTGCCATGGCCAGAGGCAGCAGGAGAGGAAGGCATCTGTGGCTTCAGGAGGTGGACGTCCAGATGACCCCAATCTCTGGCTTTCTCTCTTTAACTGCTATGACCTTGATTTGTTCCTCTGCAAAGTGGTTATAGTAATACCCACCTTGAAGATGCGCTGCAACTACAGATAGCCAAGAGAAGTTATCCGACGTGTGATAACTATCTGTTTTTGATTGTATATACATTTTTTTCTTTTTTGTGCTTCTAGAAGCTGACCCCAGTGTCTTGGATATGGTAAGCCAGTGCTCTCCACAGAGCTACATCCCAGTCCTGTTTATATTTCCTTGATGCTGGGATTTAAGAGTAGAAATCCTGTACCAATTTAAGTGAGAGTCTTAACATCTGCATGCCACTTGCCCCTTCTCTCACATAGATATATGAAAGTAAAATTATTTGACAACTAGGGATTTTTCCTACCTTGCAGTTTGAAGTCTGTTGCTGAATTGAATAAAAACAAACATCTCCTATCGGATTTAGCTGGGAAATATCCCCATCAACTAGTCCCATTTAGGATCCTGCATAGAAATTTTCATGACTAAAGTATATCACTAAGTGATAAAGAGATTATGAAAACTTTAATTTCTGTTTTCAGGCCCCCACTACTGGGTAACACGAGGATTCCAAATCCAAGGTCCCCCTCGGACGATTTATGACTTTGGATTCCCAAGGCACGTGCAAAGAATAGATGCTGCTGTGTATCTCAAGGAGCCGCGAAAAACCCTTTTCTTTGTGGGAGATGAATACTACAGGTAGGATTTTATCCTTGTTATCAATATGTATTCATGGAAAGGGAAAAAGTCTTTTGCAAAAATGAGTGCAAGGTAAGCTTACAATAGGCCCACTGAGTCTAATAGCCGTCTTCAAGATGGCCATTGTCTGATCCTCAAAATGCAAAACCATCCAAATGATAAGTGAAACATTCATTAAGGAAACCCATTGTTTGATCTCCAAGACATCAGACATCCTGGTCTTTCAGGGAACTACGTAAGTGTACTGCAGTGACCCATAACAGTGAACGTAGCATCCCTAAACATCCATAAGGATGCCTGGTGGGAAACTGATTCCACCATTACATAAGCATAAAGTACATGCCATGATTTTCTGTGCTTTGTGGAAAAAAAAAAATGGACGTGGGCCTGAATGTGGGGCTTTTTGAAAGAGTGTTCTGATGAAAAGAAAAGGCTTATTTGATAAAAATCCTTTTATTTAGCACAGAACATTAAGATTCTCCTTATACAGAGGCGACCACATCAAATACTTGTGCCTGTCTCTCAGGGGCTTACTATAAGCAGATCTAACTAAGGTGTGGTCTGTCACCCAGCTAACTTAAAGCTATATAATTGAAGCACAGATGTGTTGCATAAGAAGGACAATTTTATTTTTGTAAAAAAGAATTTCAAGCAAATGTAAACTTTACTGATACTTCCCAACCCACTAAGCCCTGGAAGCACTGATCATAGTATCTTGCCCTGTCATGAGTTGTCACTTCCAGTCCAACATTTAAACCACTAAGCCCGTGATTTTTCTCCAAAGCCTTCCTATGCAAACCATAGTACACAAATTCATCAACTGAGTCATTAAGAACTGCTGAGTGTAAAAGGCTATAATCACAGTGCTTGTGTGTAGGACGTAGGTATTGAGATTCCCATTAGGGGAACTGAGATATAGATATTAGGATTCCATTATAGATTTTCAGGGAATGAGATGGAGGTATGCAAGTGTGTATAAGTGTGTATGTGGGAGTGTGAAGGCATTTACAAGAGGATAATTCAGGTAATTCCTCAAAGAGCATTACAGCTTTAATTCCATTGGAGGGATTATCCACTCTCATGAGCTCTCTTCTCCTGGTTTTTGGACTAATCTGCACTCTTGAGTACACTCTGTAAAGCATGCACTTCCATCCAGGTTGGGTGGAGGCTTCACAGCTAAGGCGAGAGAGTAGAGATGATTAAAGTAGAAATTTAAAATTCTCTGTAAATTAGAGGTTGGGGATGGAGAGTGTCTCTGATTTTAATGATGTCTGTTACTCCCAGAGGAAATAATACTGTGCTTATCCAAGTAGGTCCCTGTGAATGTCTATTAAGAAAGCATTTTCAGCAATCTAGATAAAGAGGAGTCATTAAAAAGCTGGTCTAGGACATTAACCCAAATGTTAAGGCGCTCCTATTACTTGTTAGGAAAGGAAAGCACCACAGGCTTTTCCACCGGAATTCCCAGTGTGTTAAGTAACACAAGTGCATGCAGACACCCAGCACAGTGTCTGGTTCATAACAGCCTCTCAAACTGAGTAAATATTCAGTCATAGTAGAAGCTGATATAGTAATTAACAAGTAATTGCTGTAAAAGCTGGGATATTCTGCAAATGATTGCTTAAAGCTCAATATTTCTACTAGCAGCAATCCAAAGAGTTAGTCAAAGAGGATTTCCTTTTGAATAAGGAAAGATCCTGACATTGAATTGAAATTACTGCTTTTGGCAAAGTATAGAAAATCCTTTCAGAAATAGGAATCTTCTACTTACAGACTTCAGTACCTTTGCTGCTGAATGCACAGACAACCTGGCCTACAGCTCAAATGCTCAGAAAGGCTATCACATCACCGCACTGATACTGTAACCCCTCACACTTTACAAGACCTCACATGTATGACAACTAGTTGTTATGTGAAATCTGGTGTTAGTTTCGTCTGCTGCTGGTAATAGAGACCCAAGGGTAAATGTGGCTAAAACACATAAGGATTTGTTTTTCATATATGGAAAATGTCTGAAGTTCAGCAGACTTATGGCCAGTATGTGGGTCCGAGGTCAGTGGGGCCCAAATTTCTTCTATCATTTTGCCCCCTTGTTCTTCCCCCATGGTTTCCTCTCTCATGGTTGCTTCATGGTATAAGGGAACGGAAGCTTCAGGCTGTACATCTCTGTTCTACGCAGAAAGGAGAAGGAAGCTGGAAGGGAAGGCAGAGGAGACAGGTGAAGTTTTATATAAATACATTGCTTGGGAGCTGGGGGTTTAGCTCAGCGGCATAAGCGCCTGCCTTGCAAGCAGGCAGTCCTGAGTTTGATCCCCGGTACCAATAAAAAGGAAAAAGACCAAAAAAAAAAAAAGTACATTGCTATCCTGAAAAACACAGAAGGCCGCAAGCTTCAAGGCACAGAATCAGAATTTTTCTAATTTAACCTCCACTGATAGTGTGGTAGGTCATAGTTTTCTTAGCCACATCTCTGGTTCTCCTTTAAATCTTGATGCTAATTCATTCTGTGGCATAAAATAAAAATATGTTTATTATCAGGAAAATGCTCTATGAGCTCCTACGATTTACAGGACTTAGACTCAACAGTGTCAGTGAATGCAATCACGAGAAAATGATTAAAGAACTTCTTCTGTACAGGACTGAGAGTTTGGCTTAGGGCCAGTAGGTTTGGGTTCTGAGAGCTAGAACCTACATCACATGTCAAAAAGTACACAGAGAACCACACAGTGAACCTCAGAAGGAGGCTGGAGCTTGATGACGCCATGGTACTGTACAACACCAAGCGACATATCAGTTAAACTCTGCCAAGCAGGGCCACTCCCGCATTTGTACATTCCCTCTGATTCTTTTCGGTGTCCACAAAGCTCTAATGCTTCAGTCAGTTTTTGTTCCCCACATTGCTTCCACCATCTGTAGTTACTTTCTCCCTTTAAACATTCTCTCTCATCTACCAATAGCAAAGTGTGACTATACCAAGGGGAACAGGGATGCCGTTACTACCATCATTCTTTGAGATGGAAAGCCAGTGACTTCTGTTTTACTTAAAGTAATTTGTAAATCTTCAGGTCTCACCCCTTTTCAATTACATTGCAATTCCTGAACCTCTGGCTACTCAGATAGACTGGAGCATCGCTATTACGAAGTAAGACACATCTTCTATATTCTCTCCCTCTTAGATGCTCTAAGAATACTGGAAAGAACTGTTTATTTAAACATTTTATACTTAGTCACCATAGAAGAATAAATAATAAGTAACAAAAGTAGGAATGACAAAATAGAACTCAAAGTCTTATCTTTAAGATTTTAAGTTTTTAAATATTTATTACCCAATTACCACATTCAATTTACATTTATTTGGCATAATTATGTGTCAGACTCTGTAGAGACCCTCAAGAGAAGGCACAGGATTTGCTAGTTAAGAGAAAGACCAGCAGCTGCGAGTATTCCTAGTCTGGAAAAGGCCCTAGAGCGGATCCCCTACACTGTAAACTGAGAAAGAGGAGAGAGACAGCGAGAGAGGGGAGAGATGAATGAGGAAGAGAAAAAGAAAGGAAAAGGCAAGGAGAGGATAAAGCAGGAAAGAGAAGGTAGGGGAGGGAAGAGGAGAGGAGAGGAGAGGAAAAGAGAGGACAGGAAATAAAAAGAAAAAAGGCAAGAAGGGAGACAGAGAGAGAGAGAGAGAGAGAGAGAGAGAGAGAGAGAGAGAGAGAACTGGGTGAGAACAAGAGAGCCCTAGCATTAATCTTAAGTGCACAGCAATCCTCTGGCATCCTGAATCACCATCACTTATCAATTTTCTCATCTTCAAAATGGAGATAGGAAAATGACCTACTTCATAGTCTTAAAGAATTGAATTTGAAAAAAAAAACTGAATTTGAGAACAGTATAAAGTGCCTGCCACATGATAACACTCAATTCATATTGATGCAATTCATATCAGTGTTAGCAATGATGAGGATAAACAAATAACTGAAATCCTAGAGCCAAAGTGCTCTCATAGAAGACTGCACCTGGATCAGGTGGCCAAAACAAAGAGGAAACATCCAACTCTAGCAAAGTCATCAGGAACGAATTCTGAGAGTTGTGTAGGAGTTTCCCAGGCAGGGGGTGGGCGGCTTCCAAGAAAGAGCAGCTGAAGCAAAAGCACTGAGGCACAAAATAGCCTGTGATCATGGGGAAAACCTCAAGCCTTTGGTATGACTAAAGCAGACTAAATTAGAGATGTGGCCCAAGGAAAGCAGAGCATAAATTACAAAGATCAGTGGCTTTCTAGGAAGCGTCCGCATATGCAGAAAAGAGGAACATGTTTAAGAACCCTGAATGTGAGACTAACTCAACCCAACTGTGTGCTATAAAATATTACTGTGGCAGCAGTATGATGGGATTAGAGATGACATGACCAGAAATCAGGTAAATCAGTCAGAAAAGAAGGCAGCGAAAAGCTGAAAGAAAAAGTTTTCAATCAACAATGCTGTATCTAGCCAAACTACCTTTTAAAAAGAAAGAGAAATAAAAACATTTTCAGATAAACAAACAGAAATTTTGTTGCTTGCCTTTGCCTTACCAGAAGTATCAAAGGAAGTTATTTAGGCAAAAACCAAATGACCCCAGAAAATAATTCAAACCTACCCACACAAAAAACAGAGAGTACTAACCAAGGCAATTATATAATCACAACATAGTATGAATTCATATTTCTTCTTAGCAGATTTAAAAATCAATTACATAAAACAATTCGTGTTATGACTGTATTGTTGGGGTTACTGTGTAGAAATATGGTATGCTTGCCAACAGCTGAAAGGGGGTTAAGAGCAAAACTGTACAAGGAAATAGCACCAGATGGTGATTCAAATTCACAAACAAAAGGAGAGAGTCAGACATGCTAAACAAGAAGGATAACACAACAAAAGCCACAAATATATACCTGCAAGCTTTTCTTCTTTGAACTTCAGAATACATGAAAATTGTTAGAAATTTTTACTAATACAAAAGAAAGAAGGAATAGAGGGAACAGAAGGTAGACACACGGAAAGCATGAAGCAATATAGAAGATATAAACCAACTTTACCAGTAACATCAAGGGTAAATGAATTACGCCAAGCAAACAGCATCAGTTATCAGACTGAATGTTTAAAAATAAGATCAGTCAGGGATATAGCTCAGTGGCATTAGCACCTGCCCGGCAAGTACAAGATCCTCAGTTTAATTCCTAGTACCAAAAAAATAAAATAAAAATAAGATCAACTATGTGCTGATTAAGGAGATTCAAAGATACAAAAAGATTAAAAATGAGATGGAAAATATGTCACACAAATAGCAACTGTAAAAAAATGTTAAGTGACTACATTCAATGGTTGCATCAGAAAAAAAAATAAACTTTAAAATTAAAAATGTTACCAAGGATAAAGAGAGACATTTTATAATGACAAAAGTATAAATCTACCATGAAAACAATTTGAAACATTTTATGAATCTAACAACAGAGCCCCCAAAATTAATGAAGAAAAGCAATGGAAATGAAGAGAAATACTCACAATGGACTGGAACAGCTGGAGACTTCAACACTCCGCTTTTAATAATGAGTAGAACAAATAGGTCAACAAGAAGGAAAAAGTGCTCCAAACAAACATATCCAGAGATTACTCCAGCCAAAAAAAAGAGTGCACAATTTTCTCAAATGCCCGTGGAATATTCTCCAGAATAGAAGACATGCTAGGCCACAACACAAGTTTTAATAAATTTAAGACAATTGAAGTCATACAGAGTATCTTCACTAATCACAGTGACATAAAGCTAGAAATCAATACCAGAAGGAAAACTGAAAAATGCATAAATATTTATAAGACTGGAAAAACACAATATTAAACTACCAAAAGAAAAAACTCACAACAGATACTAGAAAAAAAATAAGAAATAAAAGACATTAAAATTCGATATATTGGAATTTATGGGATATAGTGAAAACAAGTCTCAGAGAGAAACTTAGAGCTGTAAATGCCTCTGCAAAGAAAGAATAAAAATTTCAGACCAATGACTTCTACTTTAATACACTGGAAAATTAACAGTAAGTTAAACCTAAAACAAACAGAAAGAAGTAATAAAGATTACAGTGCAAACAAATGGAATAGAGAATAAATCAGCAATTTGAGAATATCAGTGAAACCAGAAGTTGGTTCTTTGAGAAGATCAAAAGCACTGACAAGCTTGTTACTCTATTGATCAAATGAAAAAAGAGAAAACTCAAATTACTAAAATCAGAAATAAAAGAAGGAACAGTACCACTGGTCTTACAGAAATAAAAGATTATAAACAAGCACTATGAATAATTGTATACCAATAAATTAGATAAATTTAATAAAGTGAACAAATTCCTAGAAAGATACAAGCTAGTGAAACTAAAAAGGAAATAATCTGCATAGACCTATAATGAACATAGAATTAGCAATCAGAAATGATCCATAGAGAAAAATCTCAGATTCCAATGACTTCATTGGTGATTTCGACTAATATATTTAAAGAAGAATTGAAAGCCACAATTTCACAAAGTTTTTAAAAATATAGATGAGATCTCTGCCTACTTCAGTGTTTGAGGCAAGCGTTCAATACCCTGAGGTCAAAATCAGACAAAGATATAATTATAAAATAAACCTTCAAACCAGTATCTATTCTTGACAATGGATACCAAAATATTCCAAAATTATTGGCAAACAAAATTTAGCAAAGTATAAAAAAAATACACAAAGACCATGTGAAAATTTTGCCAGAAATAGAAGATTGCTTTAACATCCAAAAAACAAATAATGTAAACACCATTTCAATAGAATAAGAAATAAAACCACATAAGCATCTCAAATGACACAGAGAAATTATTTGGGAAATTCTAAAACCATTTTATGAATTAAAAAGAAAACAACTAATCTAGCAATCGAAAGAAACATTCAATCTGATAAATAGCATGTATGGAAAATCCACAGCTGATCTTATACTCAGTGTAACTGGTTGCCTTAGCCACTAAGATCAGGAGCAAAACAAAATTCCCACTCTTACCAGTCATGTTCCACATTTACTGGAGGTTCTAATCAGGGCAGTAAAGCAAGAATAAGAAAATAAATATCACCCAGATAAGAAAGCCAGCAAAATATTTTTACTTGCTTATTAAAAGATTACATAATCTTTTAATAGAAAGTCATAAGGAATACTCAAAATTTTATTAGAATAAATAAGTTCAGCAAGGTTGCAACATCTTAGTATGCAAAGATAAATTTTGTATGTATATATTTCACTGAGTAATCTGAGAAAAAAATTAAGAAAGTTATTAACTTATAATGGCACCAAAAAGACTAAAAGTCTTAAAATATATTTAACAAAAGAAGTGGAAAACATATTATCCTGAAAATTACAAAATATTGTCAAGCGATATTGAGACCTAAATGGCAAGATAGTTCAAATTCATGAATCAGAAATCTTAATATTTTTAAGGTAGCAATACTTCCCAAATTAATCAAAATACCACTGGGTTTTTTGTACAATTTGACAAACTTCTCTTAAAATTCACAGGGAAATTTAAGCAGTCGAAATATATCAAAAAAGAAGCGCAAATTCTGAGAACTTATACTTCCTGATTTCAAACTGCTACAAAGAAACAGTAATGAAAACAGTATGGTACTGGCAGAAGGATTCACATACACTTAAGTAGAAAAACATTTAAAATTCAAAGATAAATCTGTGGCTATGGTCAATTAGTTTTTAGAGAGGTGCTAAAGCCATTCGGGGGGGGGGGTAACAGTTTCTTCAAATTTTACTGTAAGAAATGATGAGCCACAAGAAAAGCGTGGAGCTGGATTCTTATCTCACATCATATCTGAAAATTAACTCAAAATTGAGTAAACATCTTAACTGCAAGCGCTAAAGCTATAAAATTCTTAGAGGAAAAATACAGAAGTAAATTCCATGACCTTGGATTGAGTGCTGGGTACTTAGTTATGACCAAAGAAGCACAAGCCAAAAAGAAAAACTAGACAAATTGGACTTCATAAAAATTAAAAATGTACTTCTTCTAAGGTCATTGGCCAAGAAAGTAAGGCAGCATTGTTAGGAGTAGGAGAAAATATTTATAAGTCACATATATCTGAAAAATGGTTTGTATCTAGACTATGTAAAGGACTTGTAATTCCATTAATAGCAATACAAAACAAAGGTAAAATATGGGCAAAGGACCAAAAAGACATTTCTCCAAAGAATATATACAAAAGGCCAACATACACATGGAAAAATGATCACCATCAACAGTCATTGGGTAAATGCAAGCCAAAACCACAACTAGACACTGCTTCATATGTCTTAGGAAGCTGTAACAGTAAGTGTGTGGAAAATTCAGAACCCCAGACAATTGCTCATGGGTCTGTAAATTAGTGCAACGATATTGGGAAAGTCTCTTATTACCCAAAAAGTTAAACACAGAATTACCATTTGCAATTGTAGGAGCCCATTCACTGGTATATACACCTAAGAGAAATAAAAACATATGCACACATGAAAACCATACACAAATATTTATAACAGCATTATTCATAATAGCCCAGTGATGTGGAAAAACTCAATCACCATACGGTGTCGAATTAATACATAAAATACAACAAGGTCGTACAGTGGCCATTAAAATAAAATGCTGGAGCATGCTGGTGTTGACAAATGTGGGAGACTATGCCAAGGGAAAGAAGTAAGCCATGAGAATAATTACGATCCATTACATGAAATGTCCAGAATGGGAAAGGCACCAAAGACGGGAAGTAAATTAGTGACTGCTGAGGGCTGCGTGGAGAGCAGAGGGGTGGGCGGTGAGAAGGGCAAGTCAAGACGGATAACCGAAAGGTGGAGGATTTCTCTGGGGAGAGATGACAGTGTTCTAAAGTGGACTGTGCTGATAGCAACATGATTCTGCGAGTGCAGGTTTGTTTGTTTGTTTGTTAACTGAATTGTTAAAAAAGAAAAAAATATATATTGCAAAAAGCCTACCAGAGATGGTGAGTTAGAAAGTATGCAATAGATTGGAGTGGTTTTCACACAAGAAGAAACCTAGACTTTGGAGACTAATTGGGAGTCATTTTTTTTTTTTACATTCTGTTTCGTTTTGTTTTGCCTTGTTTTGTTTTGTTTTGTGATGCTGGAAACACATTTCAGGCCTCACACATGTTAAGCAACATCTCAACATCTCCTCTGAACTACAGCCCCAGTTCCAGGAGTTATATCTTGGATTTAGATTTTGACATTTACCAAAATAATCAAACTTAAGAAGTACAGCAGAATTAGAGAAATAACAAGGAGTTCTCTTTTGGGGAGTTTGACGTGCTGGTGAGACTCAAGAGTGGAAATGTTGAGCCTTGCGTGGTGGCTCATGCCTGTAATCCCAGCACTTTGGGAGGCTGAGGTGGGAGGATCGTTGCAAGTTTGAGACCAGCCTGGGCTATGAAGTGAACTCAAGGCCAGGAACTGCATAGTGAGACTCCGTCTCAAAAAAAAAAAAAAAAAAAAAAAAAGCGGAAATGTCTGGACATAGAGGTCTAGAGCTCAAAACGAGCTCAGACTGGAAAGATGAATTTAAAATTCACCATGTGTTGGGTAGACCTGACCTCCGGGGGTGTGACACTGCCTAGGGAGAAGGGGTCCAAGGCCACGTGTGAAGTTTGTCATGGGAAACACTGAAAATATGCAAGGGAGAGATATTTACCTAATTGTCAATGCTTGCAAGATCTTTTGGTAGCAATGTATTATTTTCTTTATTTTTCTTTTTCCCAGGGTTTTCCTCATCTTTGAGTATTTAAGAATACAATTTTGTACTCTGACCTTTTTCATGCAGTGTTACAGCATAGACACTTTTTCCATGTTGTTCCAAATCCTTCGTTCCAAAATCTCCTTGCAGCGCCTCTTGGAGGGAGCTTGTTTCCCCATTAGCTTGAAGTAGCACGCGGCAGCCCCTCACTGTACTGCTTTCCTTTCACGTCTGATCACCCTGAGCCCAGCCTTGTCCACCGTGGATCGCAGAGGCCCCTTCCTCCCTGACAGCCATTGATTCCTGGCTAGAACTGATGATTCTCTTTTGTTTTTTTCTTTTTTTTTAATTGTGCCACCTGATTCAGACCAGAAGGGCCACCTTGAAGAAACTTTCTGAACACACTTTAGAGGCTTTATCAATAAGTGCTTTTTGCCCATCTTTTCTGACGTTCTCTTTAAGTATCCTTTGGAAACCTCAACTCTCCATTTAGTCCTTCAAAGGAAGCAGAATGGACTCAGGCCATTGACATATGCTAGAAATCATCACAGTGAAAACACTGGAAATGTCTAAAAAATGTAACTTATAAGTATGTATTTTAAACAAAAATACAGTGTACCAAAATTGTCCCCAAAACCTTAGTTTGCAAATATGGAAAGTGAGATAATACATTTGAAAAATTTGCATCAGATATTATTAGTAAAGTTTAGCTGGTTTAGGTAAGCAATGATTTACTTTACTATCTATACCCTTTAATCAACATTAAATGATGAAACATGCTCATAAAGAAAACAAATAGAGCTGCAAATCATTATTTTTAGCTTGATAGACTTTACAAACAAGAGCTCAGTGACAAGAAAATACAGGCAATGATTTTAGCAGCTGCCTAATGCATAGTAGATTATTAATAAAAATATTTTTCTTTAATATTCAAATTCAGCTAATATTTATTGATAGCTTACCATGCACTAGAAATCTTGCTAAGTATTTCCTTGTATTATCTCACTCACCCATCTGCTTTCTCCACAATCTTGAGAAATAAACACTGTTAACTGTGTTTAATAGCTAAAAGAAAATATGTGTTTCAGAGAGGACACTAATTAGATCAGGCTCATATAGCTAAGAAGTGGTCCAGCTGATGCTAAATTTCATGTCCTTTGACTCTAAATGTGCAGATTCTTTCCATCTACTACATATATTTACTCTTCAATTCTCTTCACCATTTATTTATTGTCAAGTACAAATGCCCGTGAGTCTCATCTGTCACGTAATTTCTTTTATCATCCTTCAAAGTCCTCAACACCAGTAAATGTCTTTCCTTACCTGGTCTTCTGGTTGGTTTCCCTTTTCTACTTCCTCTCAAGTTTGTCTCACACTGCAAACTGTTATTCAATACAGTGTGTTTAAAGATTAAAAGAGAAAAAAAGAAATACAAAAGAAAGAAAGTTAAAGACTAAACCCATTGTTGACTTACATCCCAGATGAAATATCAAAGTTCACTCAACCTCATAATATCAAGTCACAGTTAATAGCTCTTGGGGACAAAATAAACCACAGAGTTCTCTGGTTGGGACTGTCCTGAGTGTCATATGAGCCAGGCATGTGGCATGTGTGTCCACAAACTGCCCTCATAGCCGCTATTTGCCTGATGAGGAAACCAGGGTTCAAAGTTCAGATCATTTTCTCCTGCTCACAGAGCCAACCAGTAACAGTAAGAAACTTAGACACAGCCATCTGAGAAAGATGTGTTATTTTTGTTACTCATACAGAAATCCCCAAATATTTGTCCACAAACAAAGGCTAGGACATCACAAAATTTTCACCAGGTCGTGGCAAAATAAGAACAACCAAAATATAAACATTCTATGTGAGCACCGAGCCAGATTGTTGGCAAGAACTGTCTTTTATTCTGAGTTTATGTCCTTTCTGCCTTTTTGATGGTACAGTCTTTCTTCTTTGTGAAATGATCATGAAGACAGGTAGTAGTTTTTGTTGGTTTGAACATTGTTCTTTTTTGGTAAGTTGAAGAGCAGGTAATCTTGTTTCAGATATGTAGGCCCTGGTTCCTTAGTGTCTGCATAAATGTTTGAAATGAAAATATTAATATGTTATAGTAACAAATATTGAAATGTTGGGGAAGTTTTCATTCCTACCTCTAAAACTCTGAAAAGCAACTCAAAAAACAAAACCAAAGAGCATAGTCAATGTCAACCGCAATATTTCATTCTCAAAGTTCAACTCTTACTGAATATTATGAAATCTGTGTCCTTTTGCCTGTGTAATCGTAGCTATATGAGAAATCTTCCAGGAGATGGTGGGTGTGACCTGCTGCCATAGGAAACTACCCAGTAACCCAGGAAAAATTTATCTGACCTTTGGGGGAGAAAGAAGTGTGTACCTGGGAGTGTCCCCATGTGGAACTCTGTACAAATGAGGAAGAGATTTTCTTATGCATTAAATGAAGTCTTCACTAAGAGTTAAGAATCATCACAGTTTATTGATGAGTTCATGCAGTCATATAGATTCATGCAAGTCAAATCCTCATCACAAGATATAATTAGATCACAAAAAAGATGTGTTGATAGTATTATTCAATGGTGATGGCTGACTCAGAAAAAGAAAGCTAATTTACCATTTGGTCAGTCATGTACTTTTTCATAAAACAAAAGTAATAGAATTTAATTACACTGACTTAAAAGTCATACAATCAGTTATTACAGATTGTCCCATTCTTATTTACTGCTTATTCTCCCATTCATTTATTCATTCAGTATACATTACTTGTTTAACTCTTTCTCCATGGATATGTGGAACCTCCCCATGAATGAAAAGACCCTATAAAAGGCTTTGTTTAGTTAGCTAAGAAATTCATATATACATGTTGTGTATGTGTGTGTGGACAGAGAGACAGACAGATACACAGACAGACACCTATAATAAGTCATACATCAGACCTGGATAAACATATCTGACTAGCACACTCATCTAGCACACTTATTACTATTTATTTACAAAATAATACATCTTCCAGCTATGATGAACGAAAAAGGAAAATGGAAAAAGACTACCCAAAGAGCACTGAAGAAGAATTTTCAGGAGTTAATGGCCAAATAGATGCTGCTGTAGAATTAAATGGTGAGTGTTCCCACTGAAAATTTTCTTTGAGGAAATTTTAACAAGAAATCTATAGAAACTATATTTCCAAATGGGAAATTCTTATTTCTTATGTTTGGTCCTGGATCCTTCTACAAGTTTAACAAACTAACTCATTTATCAGAAAGAGGAATTTGAAAGATCTCTCACTGTGTTTCTCTCTTTACCAGCAGAAAGTTTTTTTTGTTTTTGTTTTTTGTTTTTTGTCTTTTTCCTTTTTATCGGTACCAGGAATCGAACTCACGACTGCCTCCTTGCAAGGCAGGCGCTTATGCCGCTGAGCTAAATCCCCAGCCCCACAGAAAGTTTTTTAAATGTAACGTGGGTGTGGTGGTACATGCCTGTAAACCTAGCATTCTGGTGGCTGATGCAGGAGGACTGCCAAACCCAAGCTCAGCTTGGTCAACTTTGCAACACTCTGTCTCCAAAAAAATCCAAAAACCGTCTGGGGTTGAGGCCAGTGTTAAGGTCCTGGGTTCAATCCCTAGTATCAAAAAAAAAATTGACTTTCTTCTATTAGTCAGCTAGGTCATAAAGCCCACACAGGTCAAAATAAAAATAAGCTTCTTCATCTTAAAAACAGTATTAAGATGGCAGAGGAAAACAAAATCAGGTAGACATCATCTCAATCTTCCCAGTGCCTTTTCCCTTTCTATTTCCAATTCTAAAACTTAACATGCAGCTAGGAAAGTAAAACTGAGCTGAGTTGAATAAATTTAATTGAATCTTTAGAATGAGTCAGTCAACACACTCTCCCTGAGAGTATAGCACAAAGCTGAACCGGACTCAGAGACGCACAGACAGATCCAGACATGGTCTCTGCTGTCATGGAATGGTGAACATCTCTGGGAAAGTGCAGCCACCCAAAGCAGGTGAAATTAGTGGAAAACGAGACAATGTATAATTCAGCAAATTGATCATGCAATTTTACAGGAAATTTCATGACAATTGCAAGAGGTAGTCTGAGAAAGAAAAGATCAAACTTGACAGCAGTAGTTGAAGATTTCATGGTGAGATATCTGGTTTTGAGTACTGGCTAGAGATTTCAGTGGGGAAAGAACAGGAGAGGTGACTTCTTTAAAGAGAATAGCCTAAGAAGAACTCAGCGCACACTTGAAGATGGCCTGTTGGGTGATCCCAAAGTAAAGACCTTAGTTTGGCTGAAATGAGAGAGAAAGAAATGACTGCAGTCAGGAGTGTTGAGTTCTAGGGCATAGATAAGCCATGTGGAAGGCACGCTAACTCCTCCTGACAATCCAATTCCACACTGGTGCCGCCTCAAAAAACTTGTAATTATAAATCCTCCAGTTACATTATCTACAAGTCATTTTTAGTAACCACATTTCCAACTTTGTCTCTTTTAGGGTACATTTACTTCTTTTCAGGACCAAAAACATACAAGTATGACATTGAAAAGGAAGACGTGGTTAGTGTGGTGAAATCTAGTTCCTGGATTGGTTGCTAAATAGAAAGATCCCATCTTTTCCAAGAAATGAAGATGACTACAAGCAGCTGATAACTGGATTTTAAGGACTAAAGCGGCCATGTAGAAGAGGGATTCTTCCCGTGGCCTTCAGTTCTCTGTGCAAGTTAGAGTTCACTGAAAATGATAGTATTTCTAAATTTTTCATAGTTGCACATTCAGAATTTTAATCCTAATGAGAAATTAAGCCAACTGTACACAAAACACAAATCAACCTAATGTAGTCACAGTTAAACACTCATTTTTTTTTCTTACCTAATATACTCTAAAGCAAATTGATCAGTTGATTTCCAGGTAGAAGCATATTTGTGCATTCCCTGACATATAATTATTTTATTAAGAAATACCAGTACCATGCAAATTATAACTAAACTTTGTAGGCATTGACTTTTTGACCATCATTAATTATGATAAATATACCCATTAATACTTTAATCATATCACAAATAAAAATGCTGAGTTTTGTTTCTTATTTTACTTGATTCTGTGTCTATTCAGTTGTTTCTGTCTTAGGTCATGGCAGACAAACATTCAAATGAGTTTTCACACCCAACAACAGATAGCTACTTTGCAACAGGAAAACATTTTAACGAAAGCCAATAAAAATATTATATTAGAATAGCTCTACATTTCTCTCTTTTGTTAATATTTACCAGCCTCTGTAATACTTTATTTGGCAACAAAGTCTGTGTACCTGTAGGAAATGTATACTGTAAGATATATGGGAACATAGACCCAAAAGAAATATAAACAATTATCACTCCTATTTCCTAATAATACCCTCAGAGGAGCTATTTTTAACCATCTGAACTTCTTCTGAATAGTTTTCTATATAGGGGAGTTCATTTTTTAATTTTAATTTTTTAAGATAATCTGTTTCTTTCGTTCCTTCTTTCAGTACAGAAGAAATTAGAGCTGCATTTCTTATAACTTTTTAAATCTTACCCTTAATAATATAAAGATTCTAAAACATTCTACAGGCTCTAGAATTGAGTGATGAAATGTATGTCATGTTCTTTATAAACTGCCTAGAATATTGACAGTTTTTAACAAAAGTAGCTATCATTGTCACCACTATTTATTATAATTTTTTGTATAGTCACTAAAAAGACTTAAGAAGGAATCAGGAAGTTACTTGAGGTACCCTAAACTTTCCATTTGGTTTCTGTTACCAGAAGTAGTTATTTACAGCCAAACAGATGTTGAATATTTGTTGAAGGCAGCATCTGTTATCCTTGATTTGCAATGTCAAGGTGCCTCTATGGGAAAGAAAAAGCACTTTTGCAAAAACAGCTGAGTACTTCTTACTGTCAATAAGCAAAAAGGAAAACAGTCTGGCCATTCTTCAGGAAGGTTAAAGACACACAGAAATTCCAGTCCTAAATATATACCTTCAAACATGCCCAGGCAAGAACTTGAAACATTTATAGCAGCATTATTCATAATAGTCAAAGGTGGAAACATTCTATCACAGGATAATGGATAAATAAAATGTAGTAATATCAGACAACAGAATATTGTTCAACAATAAGAAGAAAGTCCTAGTATATGCCTTCATATAATAGACAAATCTTGAAAACGTCATGCTAAGTAAAAGAAGCCAGGTACAACACATCACATATTTGTATGATTCTATTTATGTGAAATTTGATAACAGGAAAATCTATAGAGATAGAAAACAGACTAGTGCTTATCAGGAGTTGTTGGAAGGAGATAACAGGAAGCAATTGCTAATGGGTACAGGACTTTTGGGGAGGATGATGAAAATGTTTCCAAAACTGATGATGGTGGTGGTTATACAACTCCACGAATTAATTAAAAGCCACTGAATTGTACACTTTAAATGAGTGCGTTGTATGTTATGTGAATTATATCAAAATAAAATTGTTACATTTTAAAAATAAACAAGAATACCCACGTGGTGTGATAATCCATGAAGTTCCTACATCCTGGCAGCTGTGACAAAGACAAGATGGTAATGAAGCATCAGCTGTAAGTCAGCTGGTACTGAGCAACCAGCCACATGTCCCCCTTGTGTCCAGCACTCCAGCAGGAGCTGCACACTGAAGACACTTTGCTGCATGGACAGATGTTGCGAAAAGCAGTACAACACATTCTCAGAAGACAGTCTGGCTGGAATCAAGCCCTAAATCTATTTTTAGCTATACGATATTGCTCAAGGTCTCTAATCTCTCTGTATCTTCGTTTCCTCTTTTGTAAAATTGGAATTAGGTGATTCTTACTTCCTGAGGATATTTAGAAGCCTATATGTCTGACTTAAAATATGCAATGCTCCTAGTAGTTCCTGGTACTCTATAGTTGTCTTTAAAATAATTAGAATTAGTTTTGTTTGCAGAATTTTATAAATCCCTTGAGATAGCTAAAAGCTGGTTGAACTATAACCAGATATAAATTAATAATAAGTGATCTAAATTTTTTCTTATTCAAATTCCAAATCAAGTTGTGTGTGTATCCATCTCTCCAAAATAGTTCTTAAAAATTGTATTTCTTGAATTAAAGAATACCTGGCTTCCAGATATATTAGTGTAGCTTTTGGGAACATACAGTCTCTCTAAAGGTCAAGAAATAATGATTATATGTCATAAGTCAGAGCACTTCTTCTATGTGATGCAAGAACTTTGGGTACAATATTTTATAATAGACACAGCTGGCCTTCCATATTTGCAAGTTCCTCATCAACAGATTTAACTAAGCAGGGATAAAAAATACTTTTAAAAATAATTACATCTGTAAAGAACATGTACAAATTTTTTCTAAGCAATACCAAATAGCTGTTTATATGACATTTTCATTGCATTAGATTTTATAAGTAACTAGAGATGATTTTAAATCTACAGGAGGATGTGCAGGGTTACACACAGAGACTACATTTTATGTAAGGAATTTTTGCATTCATAGATCCTGGAACTAATAGCCTACATAGACCAAGGAATAATTTTATTCTTCATTAGGCTTTAGAGTACAAAAATGGCTTTTAAATACCAGTTTTGAAGAAAAGTAGTTTATCAACTCCTTTGAGAGTCAAGAGTAACAAGAACAGAGTTCACTTTCTGTGTTGTCCCATTACCATCCATGATGACTGTGAGCACAGCCCTATTAGAGCACCAAAAATGCTACCAATGACTGAATGAATTTGCCCTGATTGTGTGCTTTTCTACAGAATCCACAGTTTTCTGTGGTTGGAACCAAGCCCCCTTCCACTTAGCCAGTCTGAATGGCAGAGCTAAATTTACCTACTGAGACTATTTCTTTTCAAATGTTTATTTGGGAACAATTTAGACTTCCATATCACAAAGCAGATGGTAATTCTGTGTGTACTATGTTTAAATAATCACATCTTCATAATACATTTATGTACCAACCAGATACTATCTTTTTATTTGTTCTAGTCATCTATTAGACAATGATATTAAAGTTTTTTATGAATATTTATAATTTAAATTAGCAAAGCACTATTTGAGAGAAAATGCATAATGCTGTCAACCTATTACAGTGTTCAGTTCCCATAATGGAGCACAGAACAGCTCAGGGCATAAAGGCTTTCCGCATTTCTCCCCAATAGGCCTGAGGAGGAAAGCACAATAGCCTCTGATTGGCTTCCATCTGCTAAATCTGTCTTCAGTATCATCACATCCCCAAGTGGCCTGCCCATCATTTTGTTATACTCAAAATACCATTCTTAATACCTAGACTCTTGGAATCAAAATAGGAGCAGGAAGGAGATGCTTGCATGATAAGTTATAGTGGTATGTTGGTGAATGACTTTCAGGCTCAAAATAAAACTCGTTTCTTCTCCATGTTAGTGTGACATATGTCCCTCTAATCCAATATATCATTTAATAGGTGTGGGGGTAATTTTGTAGTACAATGTAGCTATCCTGACAAGAATTGGAAGAGATACCAAAACAGAAAAGAAAAGGAAAAAAATCATTGAGAAATTTGAAGTAAAATAGTTGAAAAATGCTACATTAAATCTATCTCAAACCAGAAAAGGTAACACACATTGTAATCTTAGCTTCTCAGGAGGCAAGGCAGGTGGATTGAAAGTTTGAGGCCAGCCTGGGCAATTTAGCAATAACTTGACTCAAAATTTAAATTTTTTCAAAAATCTAGGCATGTAGGTCAATGGTAGAGCACTTGCTTTGCATGCATGAGTTCCTGGGATCAATCCTAAATATGACATAAATCGATATCCAATTATTCACAACGAGGAGAAAGCATAATGATATAAATAGTTAACAATTTGTTTATTCTTGGAAAATCTTAGGACTGTATTGCAGTGGCAAATATCTTCAGCTTCTGAGATAGGATTAATAAATGTAATTACAACCTCTATAGAGCAGAGGATGTCAAAAGTCACATTCCCCTACCCAGTAACATACCCAGTATGTCACTTTGCTAAATTTTACACATATTTTCAGTACCTGAATTTGTTGTGCAATGATAAATAATTACTGTCTATACATTGAATGACATATACACCTAATTGTTGTCATAATCCATGCAAATGTTTAGCTTTATACCACTAAGCCATTTTCAAAATGATTATAATGGCTTAACGTATGTACTCTGCAACAAAGTGTTGTTTCATTGGCTTTTATTATATGATCTCTTTTTTGAGGATTTATTATGAGCCAGGCACTGTTTAATGCTCTGCACATGCTGTTACACTGTTACACATACATTTAATCCATACCATTCAATGAGGTAGAAATTACTGTCTTCTCCATGTTAGAGTTAAGTGCATTATCCCAGTCATAGATTTAAGATGAGGCAGAGGGAGGACAGACAGCTTCAGTGCAATAACCTCAGAGAAAACACATACGATAAATATCTCTCGTGAACACTGAAGAGCAGCATTTCATCCTGTGTGTAAATCAACAGTCAAGTCTGCACAGAGCGACACTGAGGACTGAGAAGAGAGCCAGGAGGCTTCCAGATGGCATCAGCATGGCAAGGCTCTGGTGACCGGGAGGAAGGATGGACGGTTTGGGCATGGCCATGAGATGAGGAACACCCAAGTGAAGCCCAGAGCTCTGTGACCCAGCTCACGTTGCCCTCAGCATTTGCAGCCTCCTATGTTCAGAACTGACATCTTTAGCTGTGAGGCTTCTGGTTCTCTAGAGCTCTCTGAATAGCATGAACCGCAGCATCCTCAAGGAAGGAGTGATTTTTACACACACTGTACCTTTCCCAAGGAACAATTACTGACCTGTTTCGTCTGGAACTCCTCTCTTTGCTTTTTTCATTCTGTTTATTGTTCTTTAGTGAGACTTTTTTCCTCTCTTCCTCATTCCACAGGCGCTTACCTATCACTGGTCACGACTCTGATGGAAATTGCTCTTAAAATGCTCAAAGTCTCTTTGAAGTCACCTTGCAGCCTTAAGGTAAACCCTGGGCAGGATGGCCTGAACCTTCCCACACACAACCCACAAGTAGGGTGGTTCTTTG